TGTAAATTATCCCCGAAAAGCCCTGAGGGAAGTGGACAATATGATATTTACATTTACATATTTACATGGCTAATTCTTGGTAAAATCCTAAATGGCGGCCAAGATGGCTACCATTGTTGGTGACGTCACAGGCCTCCAGCAGCGCCACCACCCATAAAATATACCTCACCTTGTTAAGAACATCAATGGCTTTCCACTAAAGGTAAAATTGTTTAGAATACTGCAACATATCAAAAACTCTGGGGAGGGGTTCCATCAACCCCAACCCCGCCCCCCACTCCTTGTACGACGGTGGGGGTATGAATTTGTGTGTACGTTCGAGGGTTAATGTACACATGCAAGAATACGCAGATTTTGCTTATAGCTCACTTCGGAAAAAAGTAGCAGCCTGGGTTCCAAACTAGGCGCCCGCGCATTTATGGGATTATTTGGGGAACGCAAATGTAAACAAACATGGCGGAATGCGAAGTGGAATGTTTCAGCCGGGATAAAACAGCTCAAAATAGCAAAACGGAAGGTGGAATTGAAAGAAAAAACATGAAAATGTGAAGCTGAAGGAGGAGGATGTTCCAGGGGCAATTTTACCTCGAGAAAAACAAGAAGAATGCGCCGTGAAACAGCTTCAGAGATGGCTTCTTTCGAAGCTTCTTTGCCGTGGAGCCAAGACAACTGGAAAGAAAACGCAGCTGGATACGTCTTGCCTTTAGTATTCTATAAAATGCCAGACGAGGGGAGTTTCTGAAGTTATTTACGCAGAAAGGCACACAACAACTTGCATGTGTTCAAGGTGGCTGCTCGACTTGTCCCCTCAAACAATCCCATAAATGGGTGCGCGCTTACTTTGGGTCCCAGGCTATCGCTCTTTTCCGAAATGTTTGACAAAATTTATCAAAATTCAACTGAGTTTATTCGAAACTCTAGTCCTAAGTGTAGAACATAGACCACAGTGTAGAGAGGGCTGCGCTGCAACGTTTAGGTTACAAAAAAAGGTTCTTTTTCTAGTTCCATAGCCTGAATGATCATGGGAATTAGTTTTCCAAGATAATTACAAATACAGATGCCATGCCAACATTAAAATGAAATTTGCATATTTTAGATAACTCGTATTGCTAAACAGTGAACACATTTAATAGAGTCAATATTAGACACAATGTTTGATCAAAGCCGACATATAGATCATAGTTAGCCGGTGGTAGCGGGATCTTAAAAGTTCCTTACTAATGAATCGGTATCCTTTGAGCATAAAAGACTGTCAGTTGTCGTCTTTTTAAGATAAACTAACCACCACTACGTAAATAACTAACACTTTCCAGATTTTCGCGGAGTGTATTGAATACTGAAACATTTCATGTCTCAGAGTCTCAGAGGATTTTAAAGAACTCAGCAGGATACTATGAAATTGTGTTCAATTCGGGGAATAAAATGTTTCCTTCAATAACAACTCAGATTGAGTTGTAACAATTCTGAAAAAATTCAGATAAATTCTTCGTATATGAAATAATGGTGTTAGGATTCACGCCCAGTTCCTGTACAAATGAGTGAACAAGATCAAATTCCCGGAAAAGTTAGATACACAACATCAATTTGGCTTAAAGTGGTAATTAATCATAAAAGAACGTAAACGGGAAAACAACGTTTCGCGTCACGAGCAAGTAAGGCAAAAACAATCTAAATCCTAAAAACTAATGACTCAGCTGTTTTAAGAGCCACATGACCACACTTTCATTATCTTTTTCATTTGATTAAGGTTTCTTGATAGGCGGAGAATCGTTTTATAATGGCTTTTTTTACGATTCAAATTCTATGAATAGAAATGATTTTTCGAAACCTTTAGCAACAATATGAAGAACTAACTGACATTTATAGGCATAGCCGGCGGCTGTCATAAACGCCAATAAGGAAACATCACGTTTAAGAGATTAGCGATTGAGGATTTAAGTGAAAATTCTTTATCTTCTTAACACTGGATAAAATACAATATTGTTTGTTTGGATTAATTGGACTGCTCTGAGATCATTTGACAAAGTTTTCTTATCATAACTCGCTCCGACGAAATCCCGGGCACGAGGTTGTAAACATGGTAGACAAAAGCGCACGACTCTCACGTTTACATCGAGAAATGAGTTCATCGCCCAAAAAGAATGAATGACGTTAGTAATACTATTGTGCTAGTAATATGTAAACTTCAAATTGTGTTCGGGAGAACGTTTTTGTTCAGTACAATATTGTAAATAAGGCGCAACAGCCTGTCATAGGTCAAAAGTGCGACAGCTGTAACAATTAAAATCAACCTCTTTGCATATTAATTCACTTATGACGCCTAAACATTGGCTGAACATTATTAATTAGGTAAAATTAGAACCTTTGAATTGATCGACACATTTATTGATCTTGTTCTATATTCGTTTATATGTAGCCAAAAAAAAGTGTAATGTAAAATGCTTTGATCCTATTCAGATCTACCGGCAAATAACCTGAGGTTGGGCTTTCATAAGTTTTTTTTTCCAATGAATTTGGTTTTATATTTCGCGAGGAATTTTAATCGATGGTTACGGTTGTGTCGTTGAAAGCATGTTTAATCTATCAAGCTCTGAAATGCGCTCTTTCATGAAGCAGGTGCGGTTCGCATAAAGAGTAAATTGCCTTAATTTTATGCACCACACGTTTAAATGAAAAACACTTACGTATTTCAATGTAAACACCAGCAATCTGGTTGTTAGCCGGCCAGGCTTATAACTCTGGAAACAAGAAAGCGTTTCTATATTCTGAAAGTTTCACGGGGAAATGCGTATCAAATTCAGTTCAAGAGGAGGCGGGTTTGATTAGTGAAAGTTTTTACTACTGTAGGTTCGTCAAAGCAGAGGGGATTTTCTAATAGAAATTTTGTTCACAAAATGAACGAAACCTCAAGTCCTCCGTATGGTAAGGACTTTTTCCCGGACCTTCCTTCGTGGGAAGTGCACATTTTCTTCGTCTGGTTCGCCGTAGCTAGTATAATTATCGTGACCTTAAACACCGGAATCTGCATTCTGGTTTGGACACAAAGAAGACTACGGAATACAGGAAACTTATATTTTGTTAACTTGGCAATTGCTGATGTCTTGGTCGGCATTGTAGCTATACCGTGGAAACTGCTTCATTACGTTGTCTCACCTATGCCGCTATGGATTCTTTTACTGGCAACTGTTGTAGACTATGTCCTGTCTCTGTCGTTTCTCAGTATTTGCGCGTTGACGTACGATAGATATCGAGCTATTATCTACCCGCTAACTTACCCTTCCAAGATGGCGTTAAGAAACAGCTGGAAACGATTGCTTTTAATTTGGACTGTTCCTTGTTTGAATTTCTTTCGAGTGATTTGGATGACCTCGCCGCATATCTCCTTTACCAAGTTTGACAGAGCATTCAGTTTTTTTCTTTTTTCCGGCATGGTACTTGCAACTGGCGGAGTGATCTTCGCTTATGTCAGAATATTTCTAGCGGCTAGAATTCAAGAACATCACCAGAGAGAATTAAGAAAGTGTTCGATCAAGAGACTGAATCGACGGATAAAGCATAAATTCACCAAAGCGATCAGATCTTGTCTAGGGGTTACAATTTGCTTCCTTTGTTGTTGGTTACCGAGAGGTTCGTATTTGATAGCAAGGAAATCTTTCCTATCGTCTCGGTACGAATACGACTTAATAACTTTTGGTCTCATGTGTTTCTCTCCAATTTTAAATCCAATCATTTATTCAATCTGTAACCGAGACGTCCGAAGAACTTTGAAAATTATACTTTGGAAGAGAGGTCGGGAAAGCGCTCGATCGAAAAAGGAAAATATTCAGAACTCTTTTGTGAGCTCACAAAGAACAGCAACTGCTAGCAGCAGAGAAACATATGCACTGTCTCAATATAATAACTTGTGACTGATTTAATCTAAGACCACAGTCATACCACTTAGTGGCTTGCTGATTTGAAAATTGAAATTTATTGCCATGTAATGTACTAAAAGAGTATACATAACTTTGACAAACGAAGCAAGAAAGCCTCTATATTTTTGTGATTTTTTCTTTTTTTTTTATCTTCTTTTTTTAACTTAAGTGAAGCCTTGAATGCGCTGCAACGTTTTTATTTCCATTTCAGAAAAAGTGCGTGCAACAAAAGGTAGAAGAATACACGGTTATACGAGCCTACTACTCAACAGAATTTATAAAAATGTTCCATCTTGAATTGCATGGATTGAAAATCATATAAAAATTAAATAGACGGAATGAAGCTATGGTAAGTTTCAGATGTTTTTGTGCTGGGTCAAGAGTTCTCGTGCTCTGTCATTCACAAGGCTCTTGGTCAGTGTGGAAAAGCGAAAAAAGCGAGCGGAAAAAAAAGAGTAGGCAGTGTAATAGGGAAAGAGCGAAAAACAGAGGGAAGAGAGAAGAAGAGAGCCTGTAAACATCTTTTCAAATGCCTCAATCCACCCACTTGCAGAAAAACCGTTTCTTGTGTCAAACCGTCAAAAGGTGCGCTGGTGTAGCAGGGTTTAACATGCTCGATATGTTTGTTGCACTATACGCGCGAAGCCAAATGATTGACGTAACTGTTGAAGCAAACTGTCCAAACATACGTTATACCAAGAGCGCTTACCATTTCTATGGAAACCCGGGTAATTCCGGGGAGAATTCAAATGGAACAGTTCATCACGGTGGAAATTTTCCGGAATAAAAGTAATACCTTTCGAGGTATTACCTTTTTCCCGTTTTTACCGTCATTTCTCTTTTCGGAAACGTTTTCAAGTCCAGTATCATTTGTCAGAAATCTTTTACCGAAATTTCCTTACAAATGGAAAGCGCTCCAAGAGTTGGTATCCCACGATCCACCACCCCGTCTCTCTCCAGTCCCCACGCGGTTTTCGCGCAACATTTTTCGATTCGCTTTCCTCACTATCTTGGATTCTATAAAGCTGCAAATGTATGTAAATAATGAAGTGGGTAATTATATGTTACAATTCCCTCCAATTCGAGTTACAACTCAAATTCTGCCATATTTCCCCATGAAGGACCAGCCTTCATTTTAACAGGCAACGCTACTGACAGTTTCATAGCGTTTTCCATTTCCGTTTTAACAATCTCGGCCACTTTCCTCAGTTCATTTACCGAAACCTCAAATATGAGCTCATCGTGAAGCTGTAAAACAAAATATCCACCGACAGGAGGGGGGAGGCTACACAGTGGGCGCCTCCCCCGGATTTCTCCTTTTGACTGCAAATCCGGAGAGGAATGCCTGTGAGTCACGACAGAGGTTGGAAATTCGAGTGCTAACGTCTTGTCGATGTTTACCATGGCTGTTTTCACTAAGTCTGCCGCTGATCCTTGGACTGTGGTATTCACCGCTTGTCTTGCCGCCTGACTGTACGCATGCGGGTTTGGTGAATTTATAGCCGGAAGGAATCTTTTCCTTCCGGTCACTGTCCGGACATAACCTTGTACTTTACACTGCTCAACTGTTTCTTTCAGGTACCTCTTCACCCCTACATAACGGGAAGTGAACTTGTCAATAAATAATGCGGCTTCCTCCTCAGCAAGACCAAGCTGCTCGCCGAGGGCTTTGGCGCCAATTCCGTAAATTATGCCATAACAAACTTGTTTGGCGTGCTGACGTTGGTCCTTCTTAATCGACTCCGCAGGTACTCGATAAAGTTCGCCTGCGATCATTCTAAACACGTCCCCTCCCCCGTTAAGAATTCTTCGCAGGCGTTCATCGTTTGCAAGATGGGCGATTAACCTTAATTCTAGCTGCGAATAATCAGCGGCAAAGAGAACGCCATTTTTAAATGGCACAAAAGCGTTTCTCATGCTCACTGCATAATTTGCTGCCACCCCTGTCGAACTCGACTCAGGTCTCATATTTATCGTGCTCCGTCGATTTCCTCTGCGGCCTCGTTTTGAGGAAGCTTTCTCGCCCCACGCTCCAGGCGGGGGACTCTCGGCAATTGTTGTTGGTAAATTGATGTGAAAATCTTTCGGGACGTTCTGCAAGTTCGGCTCTGCAAACGAGACTCGCCCCGTGGCAGTGTGCGTCTGACTCGAGGAATGAATTCTTGGCATATTGAGCCTTGTACTCCAGCACTTCTCCTTCTGCAACGGAAACACGACCTTAGTCAGAGCAGAGTTGACGCGGCGCCATTCAATTATCAACCCAGGAAGCGGATGAAGTGGCTTCAATCGTTCCAGAACGTCTTTATTAGTGCTCAGGTGCTTAGTAGACCGTGACGCTCCTCGCCGAGTCACGCCTAGGGTCTTCCTTTTGGTAGCCTGACCATCATCATCATGTGGCAGTTTCAGTTCGATAAAAAGCACCTGTTGGCCGTGGTAAGGAAGGTTAAATCACAAGTAAATGCCGTCGTTAAATGGGCTTTGTCATAAGGATGTTGCTGTTTTAGGTCAATTCTGGGCAGAAATCATTACTTAATGCTCTTACCCGTACACAAAATGATCTGGTAGATTGCACACTTATTCAAGTTTCAGTCTGTGTCCATCCTGGCCATCCATTGCAACAGACGACAGCAAACAGTTTTAATGCCGATACCCATTATTTTTGAAATTCAATTGATGTGAAAACTAAGTTTTAGCTTTTTACAAAGATAGCACATAGCGTAACATAGCCGCCCCTTTAAGGAAGTGTTAGAAATTACAAATGAAAATTCTGTAAAACTGTTCCTCTGTATATCTAGCTGTAAACGAAACACATTCAACAATAACCAACTTTCTCACGAGATACATTGTTGCAGATGACGCTTGAAAAAAGTTTAAAGGACGTTCAGCCTTCTTCAATGTTTTTATAGGAAAGGAAACAACCCTCACGCCTTCAAATGTTTGTTTGGGAAAAATATGCTTTTTACGAATTTTCAGCAGATTGCTGCAACCAGGAGTTTCAAAGAGTAGAAAAAAGAGAGAATGAGGTAATTTTATCATTTTCTGCCTCGTACCTGTGCTACATCCTCACGGCTGGTCAAGGAGAAGCTATGATTGGCCAGTCGGTATGCTTCCTCTTCGAGCGTGCGCAGTTTAGCTTGCAGGATGTTCTTAAGGCGTTCGCTCTCTGCGTCTGAAAAACCGACACCGTTTAACTCCATGCGAGCCAAGCAGAGTACAGATGGCATCTCTACCTACAGTGATAATTGACGCAACGATAGTTTAACAATAACAGGTTAAACAACATTTACATCGACGAAAACGGATCATTCGCAAATTTGTCAGAGGCTTGAAAACGATTGTCACAATGACAACAACAACGTTTATTTTGAACTGTAAGTTGAGCAACTTGAAAAAATATACGGTATAGAACTAAAAATACACACAGTTAAGGGACACCCAAAATAACTACAAACAGCGTTCAAATAATGTCGTGTCCAGTAGCCAAGGGCTAGTGGCTTTTGCTATCGGGTGAGTGATTTTTGTTCTTAACTTGCCCGACGGGCAAGTGAAGTTTTCATGGAATTCATATTACAGAAGAACTGTTATCAATCCTGCTCATCAAAAATGTGTAGAGGGCTAGTTAAAAGGACTGTTAGGCTAATACTTTCTTGACACCCTGAAAAAGCTAATCTAGTTGTGACAATCGCACCTATCGGGATTCAAGAGTAAAACATTGTAATCCTGGCTCCATTTGTTCAAAAAAAGAGGATACAACTATCCAGCAGAAAAATCACGACACATCGTAAAACTCTTAGGGAAACCAATTGTGTTATCAGCTGGATAGCGATTCCAGCAGATATCACTATCCACTTTTTGATCACTTGAGGCTGGGTCCTTGTGTAAAACAGACCGAAAAAGCGCTTATAATGTCCAGGGACCAGTTGTTCGAATTTTAATCTGTTTCTTTTGTTTAAAAGCAATTTCCTCTGTCAACTTTAACCAGACAAATTAGAGCGTCCAAACATCAAATTGTAGGCAGAAAAAATCACCTGAATTCGCTAATTCAATTTGTAAATGTTCAGATCTGGATTCAAATTTCGCGCCTACCTTTTACTATCTTAATCCTGCTTTAAAAAAGCTCAGTCCTTCAATTGTTAGCAAATGAACTGTATAACAAAGAACACGGAACCTTTGTAAATGCCGACAGAATCTGCTCTGCTTCCAACAATGGCCGTAACTTGTTCATCAGCGAAAGAACCAAGACGGACTCGACACAGGCCCTCACTCGACCACTCTGTTGACACTGATATGCTAGTGCCAGGCCTCCAGTACCTAGTCCACCACCACTGCCTGAAATGAAGGGAGGGCGTTATTGTGGTTTACAATGGTTTGCAGCGTTTTTTTAACACGTCTTCTTTTAAAGGTCAATACTACAATGGTAATTCCAGAGGATGCCAAAATAATGACAACAAAAAATGCTTAATGATTATAAGGCAAATTATGGTCCGTTACGTATACTTACCTTCCAGAAGAGGGGCCTCCTCAGGTAGGTGCTGCGCAACAAGCTGGTGGAGGTTCCTTTCTTTAGCCCCTGGATCCAAAAGCCAATTTGCCACCTTTGGATCCTCCGCAGGTCCATTAAGAGAGATGCCAGTGGAACGAGCAAAGGTCTGAAAAGATAAAACATCATAAAGAAAAGAAAAACTGCCATCAAATACAATAAATAAGTAATTCTTTTATTTACCCTCAGCAGTGTTTATATAAACAAATCATCAATTTGACATAACAAGGTTAAATTTAAATTTTAATTAAGCTTAATCGAAGACAAAAAGAAACCAAACCATGATTTATCAAAAAAAAATTCTCAGAGCATTTATAAGGAAACGATGAAAGCTATATCCCAATCTCCATGTAAATATGCGAACGACTTCTGCTGGTAAATTGATGACAGCAAGTAGAATCAGTCACGTGAATCGTCTGTAGCGGGCAAACTAACCACAAACGACGCTTTAGCTGGGAAATTCGAATCCAGAATTATGAACTCTAGAGGTTAACATCAGCTCATCAGCATTTCGCAAACATCAATACAGCTTAAACGCTGTACAAACACTGTTCCAACATTGCAATAACATTAGTTCTCTACTGCTACTTCCCTGCGGCGTTATTGCGTACGTGTACTTTTCAAAGCCATTACTTGAGAACGAACCTAGTTACTTGTGGAAAGTAAAAACCGGCACGTAAGAACCTACATTTTTTGAAGTTTGGAAAAAAGGGTACTTGTATTTTGGAGTAGTTACTGGCAATTTAGGCTAAGTAGGTTCTTATTAATAATCATGTTCTTAATTACAATGGAGATATGGTCGTTGACTACCAGTAAAACTTGGGTTTGGTCAAACTTGGTTTGTTTGGTCCTTAAATATACAGTATTTCTTCACTGTATTATTATAGGCCCAACTAAACTGATTACAGTATATATACAATGTAGCGTTATCCCCATAACGCAAGTTGTAGAATAAAAAAATGACAAAATAAAGTTCATAAATCAAGCATTTTCATGCAATATAAATTTACAATCTCAAAGTCTAACTCCTTGGTTAAAATGGTCGTCAAATTTTAACTATGATCCAAATATATGAGAACATGCTTGATCTTGCTTGGCTAAACAGGTTCTTATATTTTTGAGTATAAAAATGGTACATTTCTCCCAGCAAATTCTTAAAAGAGTAGGTTCTTACAGGCGGGTTTTTACTGTATACCAACCACTGATCACAGCGGTAGTATTAATTGAAAATAGAATTCAATTTTTAAAGCCCATTGCTCTCCATTTCCCTTTCATTCGACAAGATTAACTTACTCAGTTTTTCTTACCTTAAAGTGCTCCTTGACGTCAAAACAAACCATGAACCGGCCTGGTTCAGTCAAGAACTGAACAACATCCTTTAATGCGTTTACACGACGATCAAGAGTCAGGTTATTATCGACTGCTGACTCAGTCTGACTGTCGTCCGCTTGGTTAGGTGATGACTGAGCATGTTCCTTAAAAGACACGTAATAAGCGTCTTTGTCGCCCCAGCTAACCGCAATTCCGACAACTACCTGATCCTCCCCTTCAACTGTGAGTCCTCGCGAGGTTCCTTCCGACGTTGGCACATTAGTGGTAAATCGGCCTCCAATCCTAGGAACATTATCAACAACGCGCTCACAAGCCACTGCCAACGAGTAGCGCGTTTGACTGCGCCATTCTTTCAGGAACATGGAGAAAACTCGCTCGTGTCCCGTGACATCGACAATGGCCAGCCCTTCATCCGGGGTATTAGAAGAACGGGAGTATCTTGGTGAGAGCCGTTTTCTTGTAGACAAAGGAGTCGCTGAAGTTCTGGTTTTAAAATCGTCTTGGGAAGGTTTCTTTTCTACTGGTGGCGTAGAAGGAACTAAATCAGAATCAAGCGCCTCGCTACCTTTATTTTCCAGATCTTCTTGCAATTCTTTACGTGGTATCTTCTTTGCTGGTGATTTTTCTTGCACGTGACCGGAAACAATCAGGATTTTTAATTCCTTAACTTTAGTAAAACCATCGTCACCCGAAATCGCAGCTGTCTCTGTTTTTCCTTCTATATTTTTCGCCTCAGCTTCTTTCTCGATTAACTCGACCGCAGCCAACGTGGACAGATCAGAATCTAAGCAACCATCGCTAGATGAAAGACGAAGGGAAAACGAGTGTGCTATGTTAGGAGAGACTAGGTCATTATTAGCAGACGGGGATCTAGATGAGTGAGGTACAGGAGAGGTCAACGATGATACGAGCTCAAAACTTCGCTCCACGTGAAACTCTCCAGTACCGGGAAGTCGCGGTTGGGTGTCATATTCACCAATAAGTTCTTGACTTTGATCCGCAGCAACATTACCGAACGGAGGCTTGACAACAATGGTGTCTCTGTCGCGCATGACTTTTGAAGGAGAATCTTTTCGTTTAACAGGAGGCGCATGCGCCGCTGGATTTCGTCCTGAATCGGTAATCATGACGTCACACTCCATGAGGCAGGTGTCACTCAAACTACACGCAGCCAGTGCTTGAGAATCTAACAACACGTGATTATCATTCCGCTCACCGGCAACCGGTTTTACCTGAACAGCAGGTTCCTCTCCTTCAAATGGCTCTGAATACAACTCCACCGAAACGGACTGCACCTCGTTACAAAGTTTAGAATCAGAAGAAACTTCAGCAACAATGGACGCGTTTTCTGACTCATTTGGACCGGATCTTGGCACCTCCGATATATCCACAGACGCTGTTTCTTTTTTCGTTAATTTTTCTTGTGGTCCGGGTAAAACAGAAATTGGCGAGCGTCGTTTCTTTCTCGAGCGAGGAACGTCATCGGAAGTCAGTAAAGGACTCGAGACAGTGTGAGGCTTTTCCTTAGCGTGACAAGTAACTGTCGGCTGTAATTGGGCCACCGATGTTGAAGCGCAATCCTCATATCTCAATTTTGAAGCCACACTCTCCGTTATCTTGCCTTTCGCTCGACACGTTACGTCATGATCAGTGGCTTCATTATTTACTGATTCCTTTGGCGGGACATTTGCCAAAGACGACCCGACGCTGGAGATGATGGGCACTTTGTTTGCAAGAGAGCTTGGAACAACCACTTGCTTCACTTGCTTTCCTGACTTAACTATTTCTTGGCCATGACTACCATCCGGGGTAATTCCAGTTTGTGCGGGCTGCAACCTATTCCTTTGTAAGTCAGTTGAAGGATCACTCGCGCAGGATTTTGCGTTCGATTTTTCAACATTCATTTTACAACCTTTATCTGTTCTGGCAGGAACTCTTGCCCCTGCACCACTTTGGAAAGTGACTGTTGACCGAGCAATGCCATTATTCGGCCTTATATCAGCCACACTAGAAATATTCGACTTATTCTCTTCAGTCTCTGACGGTTTCCACTCAATTCCAAGTTGTGCCACGTCAGCCTGCAGAAGTTGTTTAGCTTCGTTGACAATAAGCTTGGCGGCATTTCCCAATGTAAGGCCTCTCCGTCCTGCGACCCAGATAACGCGTGCCTCGCTACGTTCACGCACCTCGGTCTCAGTCTCCTGACCGCGCTTGAGTCCACTGACGAATGGAGCAGCGTTGTGTAGTATGTTTTCGATCGCAGAGGGAGGTGCTGCAGCCACGGAAGCGATGGTGTGATAGCCAGCAGTGTACAGCAAACGCGCACGCGCAGCATTCAAGAGAGATATCCTCACCAAGTCGCAAAGCTCACGCACAACGCCAAAAGATAATCGGCTCTGGAATTGCGAGAGAAGCAGTTCCATGTTAGTCCAACCAAGTTTCTCGCAGAACACGGTCACCATTCCCGCAAATGTTGCCGCGGAACCTTGTAGAGACTGTAACATGCCGCGGTTTGCACCGTACCGCCTGGCAACTACATTGAGTGGCACTTCATGAACGAGGTCTTGGAGAGCTAAAGCAGCAAAGAATCTGCGATGCACGGCGAGTGATTGACGCTGTTGTTCCGTGCGTGTCAATATACGGCCTCGCACAGCTCTGGCGAGAAATCCTTCCTCTATTCCTACCAGGTCACCAACACGGCGCATGCTTGTAGGTAGGCGCTCCCAGATACGAAGGTACTGGTACCAATCAATGCTGGGCCACTGATCTTGAATATATATTGGAGTAACCTAGATGGTCAACAGTTACACAATGTTTATGCAATGTTGTGAGATTATAAAGCACAGATTCACTCACTAGGGCCCCTCTTAGCACAAAAACAATAAAAACTATACAAACTTTACTGACACTCCCTAAAGAGGGCTTTTCAGTGACACAAGTAATTAATTTACAAATAATGAATACGTTAAAATGATGGCTTACAAGATATATAAATTGAATAAAAAAAAAAATATGAAACAAACGATAAAAACAGAGCCTAAAAATTTCATTGGAATCTAAAAAGCTTTAATTAAAACTCCTCTCATCTGTAAATCCACGTGGGAACCTGTTAAACGGTACTATTTATTACGATTTTGGTATAAACAAGTTTTTGTTATCCTGCATATTCCTGTTTTCGTAAAAAAATACGCTAGTTATCACATCGTCTCCATGCCCTCCACTTCCTAGCCATGACTCAGCTTGGGGTGTATGAAAATGAGCGTTCGCGTCAAGAATTTTACGGTAAGTCTGGTTTCCCCCTCACCTGGTAAATAATGTGCAATTCGCTCTCAAGTACGAAACACTTGCGGGCCTTCTGCACCTCAGAAAACACCACAAGAGCCTCATCCGGGGATAGAGCTGACGATAACGTAGCCATACCTAGCTGAGTTGGTACGTATCTCTCATCACCCTTTTCAGCCTGCAATTGAACCAAACAGGATCCGTCTTATCAATTATTTTTTAGAATCAGTCCAGGTTTAACTCACTGACAATCCAGCTATCAGTAGTAGCCGGACCATGACAGCAACGGAAAAAGTGAAGAAGGCTGAGGTTGTTAGAGGGTCCTGTTTCTTACTACCTTTTTCATTTTATTCGAGAAAGCGCCGTAAAAAGACTAAAATGAGCAGGGGCTCGCCGTTCGATGGCTTTCTTCTCTTGATTTTGAAAATTCTAATTTAAGCAACTCTAACTCAGGTTAAATTTCCTAAGCGGGTAGGAAAAACAACAAAATCTAAAAAACAGTCGTATAAGGCTACCCTGAGGAAACAGCCGATGCCATAAACTGGTTTTCCCACAAAATGACGTCTGAGAAACGAGCGCAGAAATTCCCTGCTGATGACGCGTCACTACCCAGATCTAGGTATTGCTTCTGATTGGCTGAAACAAATTTCCCATGCAGCACGACCAATCAGAAGCACTATCCAGATCTGGGTTGTGACGCGTCATCAGTGTGGAATTTCTACGCTCGTTTCTCAGACGTCATTTCATGGGGAAACCAGTGGTGGCGTCAAGAAATGTCGGCTGTTAATATAAAAAGTCGTCGTTGAGTTAAAAGTTCTGGTTTTGAGGAGATGAGAGAAAACAGATTCAAAAGATCACTTTGATACCAAAGCACATGCAATGAGAGAATCAATAGAAGTAATAGAGAGACGTAATACTAGTTAAATAGCGCACAGAGGCCAATAATAATATACCACTCCTCATTTAGATCGTTTCATAACAGCTCCTTTCATCTGCCCAAATTTATGAAAAAGTGTCACATAATTGAATGTTACCTCCTCGATGCCGTTCTGATTTTCTTTATTTCCATCACGGTCTGCATCGCCACACTTTTGTAAACGAACAAATTCATTTTGTACCAAAAACTGCACAGTCGTCTTAATAATAGCATCTGAATCATTTGCATTTTCTTGCGAGGGGACTGAGGCGAAGAAGGTACAGGCCGCGTAACGTTCCACATCTTGAGGCCTAGTAACCACTCCGCTAGCAATGACCTCAAGAAGGGCACGTTTTATTCCACAATTATCTTCTTTGCCTAAAAGAGATAGGAAGTTAGTATCCATTACTGAATGTCTACCTTCACAGCCTGTACACAGATGTTGCTTTATTCTTCTTTTCGATAATCGGCGAGCGCGAGAAAGAAAAATAATTTTCGTCTTCCCCTACCTCTACCCCCTTGCGCTAGCGGTCATTTAATTCCCCCGCTGTTTTTATTTTTATCACGCGCGCTCGGCGGACTCATAAGAGAAAATAGATGGTATGTGAGCAGGCTACTACTTTCACACAGCGTGAAATAAGACAACTTCCCTCAGGGTAAACATCACTTAAAAATGGGTCTGATGGCAGGCTTGGCCGAAGAAAGGTCTGAAGTCTCGTCCAAGCGAATCAGGGCTTTTTTTATAGGCCAATCGGGCTTCCGTTTACACGAAACCTTAACCAGTAAATCCGTCAATTTGCGGTTCCAAAATACCTTGATTCGTGTAGACGGAGGCCGGGCTGAGAAATCTTTAAGAATCCCTCGAGTTCAAGGTATTCCTTTATTGCCACATTTTTGGGGTGTAATTGACACCCTAATTTTATGCTTGGGCGACTTGGGATTAGAAAATTGGGGAAAAAATGATAAGCATTTCGAGCGTTACGTTGTTGTAAATTATTCAATTCCCAAATCGTGAACCTTAACATGTCGGTGGAGGCTCTTCACGTAATAACCGTAAAGATGTTTGAAGAGTTCGCGTGGTATCTTTTGGCAGTTATCCTCGCCATATTCGTTGTAAATCGCCTCTCTGAAACCAGAAATCTTCCACCTGGTCCTTTTCCTTTACCAATTATTGGAAATGCACACAAATTAGCGGCCGAGACACGTCATCTTGACCTCATGGCAATGGAGAAAATATATGGTCACGTCTTTAGGTTGTACCTCGGCAGCCAGCTTGTAATCGTTGTTAGCGGCCAAGATGCTATCAAAGAAGTTCTTGTTAGAAAGTCAGCCGAATTTGCCGGTCGTCCAAGATTTTATACTGCAGAGGTTTACTCACAAGGTAAAGCGATTGGTTTTGCTGACTATTCAAATCAATGGCGACTTCATAACAAGATTACCGTCTCGGCGCTTAAAATGTATGTGAAACAAGTGCTAAAACAAGGAAAAGTGATCAATGAGGAACTTGACCATCTCTTAGAAAGGGTAGGCTCCAGAAATGGACAGCCACAAGACATCACAAAAGGTATTAGCTTAGCTGTGATGAATGTGATTTGTGCATTGGTGTTTGGTTCAAAATATGGAATAAATGACCCTGAGGTTACTAGGTTTCTTGAAATGACCAAGGGTGTAGCGAAAATGCTTTCATCAGGAAGTGTGGTGGACGTGTTTCCGTGGCTCTCGTTCATACCATTCAACTCGATCAAGACTTTAGAACAAAGCTGCAAGGAAAGAGAAGAGTTGATAGGAAAGATTTACTGGGAACATGTGGAGGCTAACAGAGTGCAGAACCCTCAAGATTTGACAGACGCCATGTTGAAGGCTAAAATGGAGGCTGTAAAAGACAATGCGTCAATCAAAGAACTTCTCACGGATAAGCAACTTATCTTAACAATAAGTGAGATGTTTATTGCTGGAATGGAAACCACTTCAGGTTCTTTGTGCTGGGCGCTGCTCTACCTCATTCACAATCCAAAAATCCAAGATCTGTTACATCAAGAGTTGGATCATGTTATTGGACCAAATCGTCTGCCAGACCTCAAGGACGAGAAAAGCCTTCCCCTGTTGCAAGCCACAATTGCAGAGACCTTGCGCCTTTCGACTCCTGGGCCGTTGGCGATCCCTCATAAAGCGACCGTAGATACAACACTACAGGGATATCAAATCGCAAAAGAAACCGTTGTGTTGGTAAATTTATGGTCCCTACATCACGATCCGGACCTCTGGGATGCTCCAAACGAATTTAAGCCCCAAAGGTTCCTGGACGAAGATGGAAATTTTGTCCCTCCAAAAGCTGATGTCTTTCTGCCATTTTCAGCTGGTCGTCGTGTTTGTTCAGGTGAATCTCTAGCAAGGATTCAAGTTTTCCTTACGTTGGCTCGCCTTCTGCACAGATTCAAATTCAAGAATCCCCCTGGATGCGAACTGCCGACCCTGGAACCCGAAGCTGGCCTTGTTCTGATGCCAAAGCCTTTCAATGCGTGTGCGATCAAAAGACATGTGTTTTGCTCCGTTTAGCACAAGAAAACAGCCGATAGTTCACTGGTTTGGAAGCAAGACGTTTGAGGACGAGGTCACTTGCTGGAGAAAATGGCGGAAAACTTCACCTGTTTTTAACAAATAACCGAACTTTGATTTTAAAAAACGGAGATAACACCCTAATCGATATGGATAATTCGCAGATCATACTCTGCCTCATGAAATATTTGCTAATTACCTGCAACAATTGCTTGTTATCAAGGCACGAATTGATTGAAAATCTCGTCCGTGAATATTACATTAATTTGTTCATAATAGCTTATGAAGTTAAAATAAAGAAAACGAAGGGATATCCCCTTGCTATAAACAATAAAATGAGATTATTCTATTAACAGAGATACGCCTACCTTTAAAAAGTTACGTAATATATGCAGGAGCAAGTCCATTTAAGGCTTTATAGCTGAACGGTAAGATTTGAAACTGAATTCTGTGTCTAATTAATAGCCCGCGTAGGTAGGTAGTGATGTGATCAAAGCGTCCAATATATATGGCAGATAAAACTGGCAGCTGCGTTCTGCATCCAGCTCTTTGACAGGTAAACAGCATGCCCATACATATATACTAGACCTATTCCAACAAAACCGCGCCCATGAAAACTCGACATACAAACATGGAAACTTTATCCATACCTAGCAAACAGCTGTGAACAGCTTTTAGCTGAGAATTCAAAAGCGAAGCTGCCTTCTGTCGTTCAGCGGGTTTGCATATAAGGACACTCTCTCCCAGCGCATCGACTCCTTTGCGACCTGCGCGGCCAGCCATCTGTTTATACACCAGTGCATCAACAAGTTTACCATGAAATATTGGAGTACGGATTATGACGCGCCGCGCAGGGAGATTTACGCCTGAAAATAATAAAAAAGGTTAAGCAGCCATATTTTACGTCGATAACTCGCGAAAGTAATTCGACTGATAAACTGGAGGTCGATGGTGAGCTCATTTTACCCCCCCCCCCTCCCCCTCCCCCCCCACCCCTCCATCAACGCTCCGTTTTAAGGGTATTTAAAGTTAGTTAAAGCTAAAAGAAAGGAGAGAAGATGAAAGAAAGATGTGATGTCAACGTGGATCGAACTTGGGATCTGGAAATAATTAACTGTGCCATCCTTGCTTCTAAGAGCAAGCTACAGTCAACGCTTTATTGCAAGGCTACAAAGCCTGAAGCTGTTACAAGATTATTGTGGTCAAGGAGAACTAGGGAATATATCTGTATAAGAATAATGTTTTAAAGAAAGTTTTCTTGTAGATTGCAAGCTTTTATTAAATAAGAATTTCTATGAATTGCATTTGATGTTTTAATAGCGGGAGAAAGGACCATTTTTTCTGTGGGATCTTACCTGACGACAATGTAGAGGTCGCCACGAGTACTCGAATGGACCCTTGTCTAAAGGCTCCTTCAATAATGTCTCTCTCGTCAAAGGTGAGTCCTGCGTGATGAAATGCGACCCCGTGAGGGACTGTGCGTGAGAGGACTGAGTCCAAGCCTACTTGTGTGCGTTTTAACTGTTCTATTACTTCCTTCAGTGCCATATAATCAAACGTTAGTAGCTCTGAAGCTTTGACAAATCCACCACCTGTAGCAGAAGAAATATTACTTTCCTTAACAGCCAAGCTTCCAGTGTCAAAAAAATGCTTAGCAATAGACTCTGCCAGCTTCTCACACCAGTTTTTTGTCGGGCAGAAGACTAAGACAGAGTGTCCTTCCGATATCGTCTCCTTGCATAAAGGAATCACGTGATCCTCATCTCCGCTGACAGTGCCACCTCTGATTTCTCGAATCTTGTTCATGCTGGCGTCATAAAGAGTCGAGCCTGCTTTGATCATTTCGGTCAGCGGTACAGGCCTTTGGTCGGTGAAATATAGGTCAGCGGACAACCACTTTGCGAGCATGTCAAGGTTGGGTAAGGTTGCGCTCATGCCAACTATCTGTATCGCAGGCGATGTGTCGTTTACTGCAAAGTCAAAGGAGGGTGTCAATGAACGAAAGCTTGTCGAACTATTTCAATTAGCTTAACCTTAGTTTATAAAAAGAATGTATATGTCAGTATTCAGGTACTTAGAGGAGTACATACAGGAATTGTTTATCTCGTGACAAGGTCGGCGTGTCAAATACCATGAGGCGATAAAAACATATTTTCATTATATAAACACCAATGAAATACCAGGTGAGCTTTCACGCGAAAACATGATATCTTCACACGCGAAAATAACATGATATTTTCAGATGTGAAAATATCACCGTTGCTGTGGTTACATAATAAATCGCGCCTTTCGCAGGAAAAAACTGTTTCAGTGAAATGGTTTGGTATTTCATTGGTGTTTGTATAATAAATAGAACATTACATGGCCGCTTGGAGATACGAAATTTCTCTTCTCGTGTTGAAAATATATATTGAAAATATTTTTCAACACGAGAAGAGAAATTTCGTATCTCCGCGCGGCCATGTAATATCCTCTATATATTAAAAACAAATTTTAAAAAATCTCAATTCTTAATACTTAATTATCCTCTACTCTTACGGGGCTTTTCAGGGATTATGAAACAAATAATTCAAATTGAGCATAACATGATTAAGAATCCCGCCTGGTAGGAGGCAAACCAGTTGGCTACTTACAAGCGTGGCTGAAGATTTGAACTCGAGACTACCGAGAACAAATCCAGCTAGCGGTCAGAGCGAGACTTGAACTTGGGGCCTCCGGAATACAAGTCCGACGCTCTAACCACTCGATCACTACGTCTCCTAAAAATGTCTTAATAAGCTCTAAAGACAGAAAGTTCATTTGGTTGGAGAATTAGCAATTCCAAAAGAAATATTAATTTACCTATGTGTGATATGCTTTTATGACAACTAAAATCAGCAACATAGATTGAACTGTTTCGTTAATGTTTCTCTCGCTGTGAACCAAAGGCAAATTATGAAATGATTAAAAATCTTCCTGCTTTAGAATACATAAGGCAGAGGAATCATGTTTGATCGAATCACGCTTGATTTACCATCTAGGTGACCGAGAAGGTGGTCAGCTTATTTTCGTACAAAAAGAAAAATGAGGAAAGAGAAAAGCACGTGAGACTTTGATTTCTGCTGAATCTAAAACCCCTTCATAGTGGTAATTCAGTGTCAATAGTTTACCTTCACTTCTATCCGCTTCTGTTTCACCATTACACCCAGCGATGTATCGTATTTTGGTCAAAAACAGCTCTAGCAGATAGCCACGATGTGAATCACCAATCATATGCATTTCATCCACAACAACAATTCCAAGAGAAGACAGCGCTTTGTTCTCCTCTAGCAGCCGGTTCAGCAGACTGTTGGCTTTTTCTATGGTGCAAACCGCTATGTCTACAGATACAAACCCCCCGGGTGGGGCGTGGCTGCCCATGTACCCCTCAACTCGTACCCCTGCCTCCTGGAACAGACGCTGAAAAACAAAAGAAGAAAAGAATTGAGACTTTCAAGTCTTGAGGGTTTGAGTGGATTGCACAATATAAACAGGCTTTGAATTCAGATGTGATCTCAGTATTACATGTTGGAAAGCGCTATTCACCGGATAAATCACTATCCAGCGAAAATGTATTAGGGAAACCAATTTATCCAGTGAAGAGCGCTATATATCCACCTTTCGAAAAACTAGGGCCAGGAGCTTGTATTTCAAAACTGAATGAAAAGGAAGGAGGTGATTGCTCTACGGAATGGTTCTTCAAGACAGAGGCGCTTTTAACTTTCACCAAGACATGACTAAGTTGTGCATAAAAGCCGTTACACCCTCATAAACGCACGTGGTATGGCAAAACTCGCATAAGGGCGAATCTTTGTTTTAATTTTTTTGCCTCATTTGCCTTATTGTAAACGTCGGGGTTGGCGTGAACTTTAAAAAGGACGAAAGTTCAAAGATGTGAAAATTCGCAGTTTTCGTAGTTTGAATTTCGTCTACGGTCGTCATCGTATCCTGCTTGATTTATCTTCCTTCTGCTACCCACGCCAAATGCACGTTACAAAATGACACTCTGAAGAAAATCTGAAAAGAAAACGCTGCGAAGTTTGCTATTCGAGCTAACTTCTTCCTTTCGCTAAATGGCTTCCTTGCATTTGTATTAGAAGTATGTTGTCCTGAACAGGTCCACTGACGGTCTAAAAATTTTTAATCTTTACTACAAAGTTATGACAGAAAACAAGTAGAGTACGGTTGTTAAAGAAGATCTTAAGGCATCGTTTCCTTCGTTAGTGAATAGATTAACTATTAGTAGCAATTACGAATAGAGAGCGCGGCCACCAAGAGGGATGATGGGGAGACGGCAGCTAAAGTTGCGCAAAAAATAGACAAAAATTCGATAAGAAATGCATTTAGAAATTCGCCCTTCCGACGCAATGACCATCTACATTAGAAGGGCACTGCACGCAAACGTGACTGACACTTCAACTTGTCAGTTCGAATTAGCGCCCACCTCGAATAAGCGCTCATCCTAAAGGCAGAAAAAGTTAATAAGCGCCCAGCCTCGAATTAGCGCCCCACCCCTCCTCCTCCCAATCAAACTCAAATAAGCGCCCACCCCTCCTCCTCCCAACCAAATTAAATAAGCGCTCACCCCCACCCCACCCACTTGAGTGAATAAGTTCTAATAATAGACTTCCCTGAGGACGGAGTTTTCTTCGGAGTATTTTACAGAAACCTTGCTTTGTTACTTCTTCGCGTCTTGTTATTAGCAATTATTGTTTTTTTTTTGGCCAAATAAACATACTTCACTCGCTGAAAATGGTGAAAATTCAATAAGCGCCTAGCCTCGAATAAGCGCCCACTCTCAAGGTCCAAAAATTTAATAAGCGCCCAGGGCGGTTAATCGAATAAATACGGTATTTAGGAAAACATTTGTCAAAACACACCCATGCAAACTGACTATTCAAGCAATTTCATTTACATACTACATACAGCTTCGCTAATTACCTGCAAGTAAAACATTTTTTCACGTGCGACGCTGATGAAGGGCAGAATAAAAAGCGCTTTCCTCTTTGTTTCCAGCACTCGTTTTAACATAAGTAGCTCTGCTACCATGGTTTTCCCTGCACTTGTCGGGGCCGAATACACCAAATTGCCTGCAAGAAACATATCGACATTTTAACCACTGATCTAAACTACGTGAAGCCCCCCCCCGGGGGGGGGGGTACTCCCTATAATGGCATATACAGGGAGGCTCCGCTAGAAAGGGTAACCTATTCCAGACCTCAGGTATATGAAAGGATAGGGATTTCACTTATTGAAGTACCGTAAAATTCCGAAAATAAGCCCCGGCGCTTATATTTTTCAAAGGCCCTTTTTGAGGGGCTTATTTTCGGAGGGGCTTATATTCGGAGGGGCTTATCTATGGAGGGAAATTTGCGTCTCAAAATCGATTGGGCTAGCCTTACAGTTGAAGGTAAATTTACCGTTTTTGCTTCGTTTTACTTTGTATTTGAGGGAAATATTCCAATTACAAGCCCTCGGGGGGGGGGGCTTATATTTGGAGGGGCGATTTAACAGAGGGTTTTTTGCGTTACCGGTGTTTGGGGGGCCTATATTTGGAGGGGCTTATACATGGAGGGGCTTATTTTCGGAATTTTACGGTATATGAAAGGGTAGAAAATATGTCATTTTGGTTTGTAAAAAAGGCCCAGAAGGGCTAAGAGATGCATTTTATGAACTCAAGGTGAAAACGTTCAGTTTGGTTAGAGATTTATTGATCATATTATTTTTAAAGACTGTAAATTTACGGTAGTGAAAAGGGATGCATAGTTGTAAGCTGGGTATGTGAAAGGGGTACCATTTGTCAATAGAAGGTATATGAAAGGGATACCTTTTCTGTCAAAAATGGTATGTAAAAGGGTAACAGGTTGGGACCTCAGGGTGGAGCCTCCCATAAAGCTTTGTTGAGTACCCCGCCCAACCCCCCCGGACGTGAAGCTCCTAGTATCGTCAAAGAGAGTTTTTCAGCCTGTGTGGCAAGTACTTATGAAATACATGTATACCTGGAATATAAGGTGAGATCATAAGCAACGTTTAAGAGGGAAAAGGACATGCGTGAGTCTCCCTCTCTCACAGGTAACGCTCTTTTTGCGTGCCATTTAGTAATACATTGTATTAAATATTTTATTTCATTTATCTGTTTATGTTGTGACGGCGGTTGAAGACATAAATCCAAAAGAGCTTTGCAATTGACCTAAAAAGATGTAAATGTTGTAAAACTGAACTGATAAAAGTACAGGTATCCGCTATGCAGGCTACTCCCATGAAAAGACATGACGCCTGGAGCCTGGGGCGGGTTCCAAAATTGGCCTACGAAGACTGGTTCCACCCAAAAGAGGTACCTTTTTCAGGTTTTGGACATAATTATGGTAGGGATTTCACAAGTAGAACTTTATGAAAGGGTAGGGAAATTTGTCATAGCAGTCTGTGAAAGGAGCTAAAAGGGCAAACAGATGCGTCTTTTGGCTATGTGAGAAAAGGCCAAAAAAAACTTCCTGCTTCGGTGTTTTACAGTCAGCTCTCTTTATTAAAGATGGACACCTTCAGGACCAACACTAAGTATCCATCTAAGAGGGATTTCCGTCTTGTAGAGAGTCAAATAAAGGGAGAGACCAATTCTAGGTGTAGACCTGTTTTACAGAGAGGTGCCCATGTAATAGAGGTGTCCATTAACAAAGAGTTGACCATATTCATATTTAAAAGACAGTGCATTTAGAGCAGATAAAAGGAATTTCATACAATGTTCTATTAAAACTAGGTATGTGAAAGGGGTACCATTTTTAAATAAAAGGTATAAGGTTTCTTTGGGCACAGCTTCCCCCTCTATTAATTTTCACTTGTAAAAATAAAATCTTCCTAACTCACCTCCTGTGAGTACCTTTCCTGTTTGCAGACAAGCAGCTTGCCACTCAAACATATGTGTGATCGCCATCTCATTGTACTTTCTCAGGACCTCAGGAGGGAGACCCCAGGAGGATAGCTCCAAGGGGTTCCCAGAGCTGCTAACTTCAGGCTCGAGGATGCTCCTACTGAGAGACGCTGAAAGAGCCGCTGATAGCTGACTAAAGAAAAAAATAGCAGATAGTAGTAATAAATAATTAGTATTAATTTATGATTATAAAAAACCTAGCATCATGATAAAGGATGATAAAAATAATAAATGCCAAATCATTGACTTGGCATTACCATCTGACAGATACTTCAGTAAAGGTAGTCAAGAAACCCTCAAAGCATAAGGATTAATTCGGAAACTGAAATAGCCCAAATGTGGAAGATGAAAAAAGAGACAGTTCCAATTTTTTTATTATTGTGATTGGCACTCACAGTATAACCAAAAAGGGACTATACATAAATTCTTAAATGATTAAGTGAACTCTTCTGTACCTAAGAACCATTGTTTGGCCCCAGAACCTAGGAGGAACAAGTGGACAGAAAGCAAGTAGGCAGGAAAAATAATTTAGAAAGTCATTAATAATTCATAAAGGAAAAACACAAGAAATTAATGTTTAATGACTGTCGCAATATCTAATAAAGACACTCGTGGCTAAACTTAACGTTCAATTTTTTAGACCAAAATAAGCCCAAATCTAAATATTAGTGCAGTAATGAGTTGATCTATATCAGAGATTTTGAAGCTGTTCAAAAAACTCACAGTCTTGTATTATCAGGGGTAAAAACTCTTGGCTTCACCTCGATTTTTAAGAACCTGATGTAAGTTATTTAAGCAATAGACTACACTTTCTATGAGTTTACCGGCGTGATAACCCATGCGGGATGTTGGGAGAACACGAGAAAAACTTGTAAATCATGAGCTGAGGCGAGTGATTTACAACCCAGAGTAGTCAATCAATAAAAATCGGTATTGATAAAAATCAAGATTGATGACGGAAATTGGTGAAAATTGATAAACTAAAGGGTGGCAGATCTAAATTGTGCAAAAACCGGAAAAAATAAAAAACCTGAGCAATACTGGTCATCAGAAGAAGACTTTAAAGCGCCTAGCAGGTTTTAAAGAAAAGATAAGATTTTTTAAACTTTTTTTTAAAGAAGTGATAATAAATTGTTTGATCCTTGAATTCTCAATTGCAACTCAGTTGTCAACAAATTCACTGTTTGCAAGAAATCAGTTTTCATTTTTGGATGAACAGAAGAACAGATGTATCTTCCGATAAAAATCAACGGAATGGGTAAAATCTAATAGTATATTAATTTTTTTATAAATCGATAAACGAAACGAGTGTGTCATTGATTCTACCGATTGATTGATACAATTGATATCAATCAGATCAGGTTTACCGATTTTTATCGATTTATTGATTGATAAATCAATACCGATTTTTATTGATTGACTACTCCGGGTTTAAAAGCTTTTCAAGTGTTCTCCCAACATCCCAAGTTGGTTATCAAGCCAGTAAACCCAAAGAAAGTGTGGTCTATTGCTTTTATAAAATAACTTTAAGTAAACTATGAGTTTACTGGGCCAGGCATAATAAACCATAGGTTTTTAACCAATCAGAATGCACTTACTATCTTAGTTAGTTTATAAAATATTATATTATCTATATTACTTATGATAATGGCTTTACCTTTTGCTATCATGAGCAGCTTGATTCACCAAACTCCTTCTCAAAGCTTGTGACTTGTCATTGCTATTTTCAAATTTTTCGAAAGCACCAGTGACAGGAGAAAACACAGGTGAGTGAGTTGACAAAAACAGTGCCACATGTTCGGAGTCCTCAATAGGTGTAGAAATGCGCTCCCTGGCACGTCCAAACTTGTTCAATGCAGATCCATTCGTTTTGCCACTGTTAATATGTGGAGTGAAGGCCTGTAGGGTCATCTTTGGTGTAATATTGCCTTCTGCAGCATCCTTTGGAGGCACAGTTACAGGAGATTGCAGAGCAGGGTTAGGACAGAGATGTAATTGCTCCATTTTATCAACTTCTGACAATCCTGCGGCATCAAACTCAAACCCAAATGACAAGTTGAAAGAAGCACTTGGGGACTGATTCACCTGAAACAATGCAATTTACTCTTAACTTAACTGTTTATTTAATCATTCCTAGTATCCATTTTATCAACATTAATTTCCTTAACATATTAAAACACTCTCTATGAAGTAAAAAATGTAAGTTAAAGGTAAAGTCTGCAAACGAGCCGAACCGCCCATCAGGTCAGGGCTTAATGTGGTTTCCATGACATGAAAAGACAAGGAGTATTTCTCTTCCCAACTGGATGAGATGTGAGTCCCATCAACGGAGCCCTCCACAAGAGATTAAGTGGAGCAAAGTTTCTTGTCTAAGGAAAACAACTTGATGGCAAGGTTAATGTACCCAAACCCTACAGAACTGAAGTCTGAGTTGTTAGTAACTCAGCTGAGCCACCAAAACTTTAAAACACAAAGAAGTTTTCATATGAAAAGCATGTTCGTGTGCTCTAATCAGAATAATAGAGTGTAGAGAAAGGAAAAGATCTCTTTTTATGATGAAGAGGATTATTCTGTGCTGTAAGAAACATTGAAGGAAGCCCAACGCTGTATTTGTAATCCTCTGAAATCCAGGCTGCCCAGTAAAGAATTTATATGAAAGCGCCCATCTCCTGAAAAAGCTAAGATTTACGAGCCACCCAAGAGCAAGGCAAGGTGCCAAGGGTCAACGAGTGCTGCTAGAGCACAGCCATTGATGTAATGGCTGGGTTCACACTGGACTCTTCAAGTGCACTTGAAACTTGCATTTGAAGTGCACTTAATAGACTAGCTTGTTTGTGAATGGGTCCTGTTTCCCTTTTTCTCACTTAGTTGACACAGAAACTTCAAAACCTCAAATTACCGAAGTGCACTCTGTCTCTCAAGTAAGGTCAAGACCTTCCTTTAGATTTCACTAAACCAATCAAAGCACAGGAAGCTTATTATCAAAGTGTCAATCATCTCGAGCCACAACTTTCACTCTCAAGTGACCAAGCATCAATCAGGATACTGATGTCCACAAAATATAGGTAGGTTTTTCTCAGTTCTGATTCATGAGTTGGTTCAGAAGCTTCATGATTTCCTTTTTTATTTGACAGACACCATCTTAATGCAAGACTTGGCTGTGAAAACAAAATGACCTATGATGCGCAAAGAGTGATTTCCCTGTTGTGCATTTCATTGAAGTTTATTCTCTTTTGAACCAGTTCAAGCCAGCTTTTTGAGTCCACCTGCAGTAAGAAGCTGTCATAATTTACAAGATGAGTAAACCACATGACTCATGAACGAAACAGAAACTAAAAGCCAATTCAACTACTCAAAGAAATTCAAGCAAACCAGAAAAGTGCATATGAAACAGAAGAAACAGAAGAAGAGCTCTAGCAAGAGTGGGGACCAAAGTATGAATAATTAAAGTGTTTATCGACTGAAGTGAGAGGAGGAATCTGGAGTGAAATTTTTGACAGGTATAAAGAACAGTTTGTTGAAAGCATCAGAATGTCACCTCAGCTTAAGAAAAGAATACAAACTCTGGAATACGATTTTAAAAACTTGAAGCAACAAGCTCAAAATACATGTACTGACAAGGAATGCTTTAAGAAGATCAAAGAGGATTTCCCCTACTTCGATTACTTCGATGAAACCATATCTGTCGCATTTTTGTACTTATTGTTTTGGCACTGTTCAAGAAGACTGTTGTTAATAAATGGAAAATCATGCTTTGCAATAGTTCTAAAAAACTCTTGTCCATTAAACACATGCACAGCAGCATTTTCCCATTTAATTAAACTTCGGGAGAAAGATTAGTCCCGCGGCCGCCAAACTTGATCACTTTAACTTACGTGTCAACGCCATTTCTTAGCAAAAAGCTAAGTGCACTTTCAAGTGTTTTTCAAGTACACTTGAACTTAAGTGCAATTCAAGTGCAACTAAACTTAGTCCTAGTGTGAACCCACCATAATATCACAGAAATGAAGAAAACAACGAAAACGTGTTTCTAGCACACTATCCTGCAGACTGAAACTCTGGGCAACGTTGAGTGGAATACAAGACATAAGACTTACATTTGAGCAATAATACACTGCCTTTAATTGCGTTGTAGGAAACAACAACCTTCACAAGTTGTCATAAATGAAATGGACAATTTCCCTGCTAGTAGAGGCCCTTTTCCCTGGTATTCGGTGGACGGAAGGAAAAGATGTCTCTCCCACCCGCCGAATACCAGGGGAAAAGGCCTTTGCTAGCAGGGAAATGGACAATTTATTATTACTCCAAATCCCGAGTCAAGGAAGAATGCTGTGACACGCGACAAATTAACCTTGATCGATAATTTTGCAAGTTCTATAACAGTTTTATATCTTAAAGGGTGTATCTCTTGTACATATCTCACCTTGGATGAGTTGCGTCGGCAATCTTTGTCATCGTTTTTTTGATGAACGTTGGGGATTCTTTGTTTGATAACATGGTTACTAGATCGTTCAGAAGTTCTCTTCTGCTTCCAGGTCTGCGACAGACGTCGCATTTTCACACACCTTTGTCTTAAGTCATCATTTTTACAAAAATAGGAAGTGATGAAGTGGTGTAAACACTGACAAACGAAGATGTAGCGAAGGGAAAAATACACATAATGGACGCCATGTTTTTAAGTTTGAAACTCGCGCGCTTGAGAGACTGGTAACGAAGAATGGGAAGGGAAATGGGTGGGGGTGGGAGGGGGAGGTGGGGGCCGGGAGGGAGAAAATAAATAGAACGTACATACAAGTTGAAAACAGGACTTTTTAGCCTTTTTTGAGTTTGTCAGTTTAAAACACAACAACTTCATTCCCAGTCTCCCTTCCAGCCCCCCATTACTCCGTGCCAGGAATTCACCTGGGAAAACAGCTGACATTTTGCAACCCCACCACTGGTTTCCCCACGAAATGACGTCAGAGGGATGAGCGCAGAAATTCCACACTAATGACACGTCCCTACCCAGATCTGGGTAGTGGTTCTGATAGCTCATGCCAGGAGGGACTGACTTGCCTATGTGTAGATCGATGCTCCCTCTCTCCGTTTTTCCTTTGTCAGGGGGAGGGTGCGGCTACACGTGGGCTGGAGGAAAACAAACTACTGTTTTGAAGATGTGAATGTAAACTAGCAGAGATAAGCACGCTTGAAAAATCTGAAATAATAATAATTATTACATTTGGTTTTTGTGTAATACAAAGAATTATGCTGATCTCAGAGGTGAGAAGGACAACACATCCTCCATTATCTGTATAATTCTTCAAATCATATATGGCCTTATCCAATAACAAAATTGCTAATCGACTTTGAGAGACAGAAAGAGACCCCAAGAAAGAGACCCCAAGATGATATATACAACTCCAATTAATAGTGAAAATCACCCCATAACAGGGAAAAATTCACTGAATAACAGAACAAAGGAATATGATTTTCAATTTTACATAGGATAGTTTCTAGGCTTTCAGTTGAACAGCTGACAGTCTTTGGTACTTTTGTCCTGTCTCACCCCTTTTTGGTTTATGTTGAGTTTTTCAGTTTGGGCCTCAAAAGAAAAAAGGAAAGAAAGAAAAATAGAGAAGGTTGGTTTATGTAGTTAGGTTATCAGTGAATATCTGACATCAAGTTGTTTATTAATAATATTTATTTAACACCATAAGTTTTTTCATAACCATACTTTTAATCTTAAAACTATTACTTACACGTATATGATACACATTTACCCTGCAACAGACTGACATAGTTTTTACATAAAGCAGCTAATTTAACCAAGATTTTTTTCATGTCCTAACATTAGTAGTTGTTCCCTATGTTTGTTTTCCAATCCAGTTGTTAGCATACATGGGTACACACTGCGTGCTACTTAATTGCTGGTCGAGTATCTTAATCACTTATTAGCCACTTTCTCTTCTCCTAAACAAGACAATAGCTGCTGTCTATATTCCATAATATCTTCATAGTGTCCTGATAATGATAGTATGTCATTGTTTCTCTTAGCTTCACGATGAAACTCAGGAGTCTTTAGTTCATACCACTTGGGCTTAGGGCCCCTTATTCTTTCAAGTTCATCATGACATTTCTTTTTTAGGAGCCTTTCCTCCTCCAGACGTAATCTATCCAACTTCAACCGGGCTAGTTCTTCCTGATATGGAGTTGCAAAGGCACTTAAGGTTCGCGATGACAACATTTGATTTTCGGCATTTCTAAAAACAGACAAATCAAAATCCCTGATTGGCGTTTTTGTAATGTCTTCAGTAGGATCACTTGCAATGTTTCCCTCTAAAGAAGTCTTCAAAACAGCTGCTTTTAAAGGTCGCCTACGCGCCATTTTTTCAATGTTAACAGGAGGGCTTGTCATGCGATGAACTGGATTTATAAACCAGCTGTCTGAATTAATGCTGCCATCCAGGAACGTATCTTTTGAATAGTTTTTGTGTTGGAGTCTTAATAATTCTTCTTCAGGGCCATCATCAAATTCTGACAAATCCAGAGCTAAATCATCTGGATCCAACTCTTCATCTGAAGATTGGTGAAACTCTTGGAAGCTAACTGATTGCCGGGAAGGAGTTCTCGTGTTCTGCCGAGTTGACTTTCCTGTGGTTGATATGGTCATCTCCGAGTTGGTGCGATAATTCTGTGGTTTTATCCTAGACAGTGAATAAAAGTAACGTCAGCATTAAGTAAGATTTTGTTAACAATCCACCATACATAATTTTCTGTACATTTTTTAAATAAACTTTCATTTTCCGTAAAAACATGTGCAGTAATCTAAACTTGCTGTAAGTAACTGACAAGGAAAATTAGGCTGAAAATTGAGAACTATTTGAAAACTTTGTCAAGGGTGGCAAAATCTTAAGACCTGCCAGGATGCTGACCTGCAGTTTAAAATCCAAGACTAAAGACCAAAGAGCTCAAGACTCTGAGACCAAAATCAACACACATACACCCATGCACACACACACAAATGAGACCTAACCACACAATAAGAAGAATTAAAGATCACATTAAGATTTTCTGAGACCCATAGGGTGTAGTGTCATGTAAGTTTGGGGAATTAGCTCCTTTGTATGCATTTTGTGAACTGGTTGTATATGTTATGAATATTTACTGTAAGTGATGGCATTTAAGGAGTGGAAATTAATTCTTTAAAGGTTGTTAGTTGTATGCTCGTGACCAGCATTCAAATTTCCACAGTTTCCATTGGGAATTCCACAGTTACATTTAATTTAATACACCCCTTTAAGAGAGGATTTCTTCAATAGAATCTGTTTTGTTTTAGAATTGCAAGAACACAACTGAAGACTGCATAAAAATTTGTGACATTTGAAAACCAAGAATAGTAGACAAGAAGAAGGTTAAATTTGACTCAAATTTTGGGAACCCATTTTGAAAGCTCCTCCTTTCTGATCATTATTTTCTAACTGGACATCACTTTAAATGAGAACAAAAATAATTATGTAAGCTGCATAATTACATACTTGTACCATATTGGGGCAAAACAAATCATGCCAGTCAGTTTTTAAAAAAGGTTAGTAATGTTATATCTTCAAAAGTAGGTTGAGTTTGATCGTCCAGGTGAACATAGTCCTGAATAGGACTGTTGTTGTTGACAGTGACTGACGTTTCGACAACCTGTGCAGTAGTCATCTTCAGAGTCAAAGTGAGTTGTATCACGTCAGTTGATGGTATTATACTCTGGTTATTGATTTGATTGGTCAATTATGTCGTGATGTTATTGGTCGTCTGTCAGTTAAGCCGTGATGTTATTGGCTACGAAGACTCGTAATCAGTAATCGGTACGTTTTGATCCATCTATTGTCACAGTTAAACAGTCGTCTATCGTTAGTCAAATTGTCATTCTCTTGTAGTTAGTTTTGCCTGATCTCGTCAATAAGTTGTTTGTACAGTGCTGGTAACTGTTGGCTACAATTCAGTGGCGTTTGTTCTAAGTTAGTAAACCAGCTTTCTAAAGTAAGACATTGATAGTAGTCAGTAGAATACATTATACATGTCGCAGAGTCCCAGTCAATTTGATGTTTCGTCTTTAAATGGTGCTCAGCAATGTGATTGTTGACGTCACCATTCTTTGTCGCTCGTTTGTGTTCGGTCAGTCGCGCGCTTAGGTTTCTGCCGGTTTCACCGATGTAAGAAGCCTGGCAGTCGCAGCATTTGATCTTGTATACTGTTGTTGTTACTAGTTCACCAAGGAGATCGAAGAAAATGGTAAGATACCTTTTCTAGAATGCTTGGTCACTTGCGACAACAACAAACTAAAAACGACTATTTACAGAAAACCGATACATACCGATCGATTACTAGACAAGTCTTCGTACAACCCGACCTCTCACAAGGCTACTACTATCCGGACTCTGACGAGACGAGCGCAACTAGTTTGTGACTCACCTGACAGCCTACAAGACGAGACCGATTATCTTAACAACGTTTTTAGTAAGAACAATTACAACACGGACTTTGTTAGACGGAACACTCACAGTAACACTGATTGCAACACTCAGACCAACTCTGGCCCTGTTACGCCAGCGACTATACCGTACATCAGAGGCACCTCTGAAACTATTGCACGTAAATTACAACCTTACAATATACGTGTTGCACACAAACCGATAACCACTTTACGGCGACTGCTTACTAAATTGTCAAGGACAAAGACAAACCGGAGGACAGACAGGGAGCAGTATACAAGATCAAATGCTGCAACGTAGTTCTAAAGTTTCCCAATCAAGTTGTTATATAAAGAGTCTATTGAGTCTAAATCAGTAACCTCATATACAACAAGGCTCTAGGTAATGAAAAAGTTGTAAACTTAAACAATAAAAATAAGAGACTTTGCAGCATGAACAAGAAACTGAACTACACTGTGGAGAGTTTGTTTTCAGCGAGAGGATTGCCCACAGAGCCCCGTTAACTTTTAACACACAGCTAGAAGAAGTGAGTACTGTTTAAAAGGCACAAGAAGGCAAATAGGAGAAATCTGAGTTTAAAAAATATTGTAAGCTTGTATATAACGAACACAGCACACCTGAATGGAGTTCGCCGACCTCTCAGCAGGAAATCTTCATCGGGATTTCGCTTTGTTGTTCCTCTGGAGGGTAGAGGTCGTAAGTTATAAAATGAATCTTTCTCTGAAGGTTTTCTCTTTGCCATACTACTGATAAACATCGTGATTTGTGGTTAAAAGTTCAGACAAATCGAAGGCTGTAAATGACAGAGCACTGAAAACACAACAAAACTCCAGGGCAGCGTCGGTGACCCTTACTTAGCAACCAAGCTGTGGAACCAGGCTTCAGCTGCATCGAGACAAGGCTTGGTGGCTTAGCGGAAAGAACAAGAAATGACTTTATCGACTTTCATCACTACAGCAAACAAAACCAAACGAAAACCGCAAAATCTGAAAAAAAAAGAAAAAAAGGAAAGAAACACAGACTTCAACGATCGAAAAGGGCAAATTAAATCTAGTTTTTAGTCCTCTCGGAAAGAAGTATATGGACTTGCTAGACTTCATGCAGACCACTAGACTTGCTGCAAGTCCAAGGCGTAAAAGGCCAAAAATCTAGTCTATAGCCGTAAAAATTGAAACATTTTGACCGTTACCGTAAATAGGGTAAAAAAGACTTAACCGTAAAAGAAATTGTTTCTTAGATTTGTTAATTTTAAGGAAGGTGCTAAACTCACTTATGGTTGCGTTTTTCATTTCCCGGGTACTTGGACTCAGTACGCACGTTAGGCCAAGCGCCTTTTTGGTGTTGACCTAGACCTAGGCTCCTTTTCCGCCGCTCTCTCGGTGAACGAATTTTTTCCATAGAGAAAATCTGGCTTCTTGCTGGGGATTAATATTTGAGATTTTCAGGAGGTCGTGCCCTCGAAATACTAGTGAAACAACACGCGGAGATGCCACTGTTTGTAAAACACGTTGCCGGTAAACAACAATTCTCTGTTTTTCTCTGACGCTACCGTAGACATTGCCTTGCCTAGTCTCTGTACGTCGTCTTCCCACGCAATCTCGGTCATGGTATTTCGGTGGAGTATCTGAGAAAAAAAACTCCTTTCACACGAATAATCCATCTCTAGTGTGAAAACGGCCATTTCTGTTATAAATGAATGTTGATCGCCAGCCTTGAGTTGGGCGTTCGCGTGTCTGCTTTTGCTTTTTCACCAAGACTATTTTCACATTGACTATTGACATTTCTATACGTAAAATAATATTAGAAGTGGAATACTTTATAAAAAGTGTGATCTATCAAATGTTAAAATTTTTCAAAAGAATAGCTTATTTCATCCCGAGATTGTTCTAAGACCTATATTTTGCTTTAAAGATAGAAAAAATACACGTTGATTAATATTCAACCCTTTGAAACAAAACAAATTATTAACTTTTTTGTTAACCGTAACTGAAAAAAATTAACCGATAGCCGTAAAAGAGCCAAAATTTGAGCCGATAACCGTAAACCACCACCCCATTGAGACCCTCCCTCAAGAGTTTCTGAGCGACTTTTTCGAAATTCTAACAGTCCTATGATCACGTGTGTATTTAATGTCCAGCACTTTACGCAGAGTAAGAAAATGAACACGTCCGCAGGAAGAACCGTGAGGGTATGGAAGGACAACGCAGAATAAAACTTGTCAACATTGGTCTGATTACAAGTGCCATTTGGCTTGGTGCCAGCGTTGCAATTCTTTTTCTAAACTTGAATATGGTTCTTAGAAATTCAACTCCGGGAGTGTTTGCCCACATTTAACAAAGTGAGTTGAAATAGTCGCGATAAAGACCGAAAGAACGCAAATTCATTTTTGAAGCGACGTTTTCGCTGCCGTCGCGTCGTCTGATCAGAAAGTCCCTGCTAACTGGGTTTTGGACGACTAGGCCAACACCACAAAGGTCTGCTTAAGAAGGGCATGCACTGTACAACCACCGTCATGTATAGACGTACCGCAAACCGCTTCATGACCTTCATCGTTCTGGCCAACACTCAAAGTTTAAACCAAATATGGAGTCAAATGTGCTATGAAAGAGGTTCGTTTGAATGCTCACAACATAGAACTTCATTCTAACACTCCACAGTTTTAGGGTCAGTTATGGAAACATATGATCCAAGCAGCCTAGTCCCTAGGCGTTCTCGGTTCGGTCAATCCTAGGCTCTACCGCAAGCTCTACCGTGGGCAGTACTGCTCGCTCTTTTCCAGACTTAAAGCGGACAACGGATCAAGAGAGAACGCCTAGGGAGTAAGCTGTGATTCAAGCAGATTGAACGACTGAGCGGCCTATTAGCTGCTTTAATAAACCTTTATTCCTCTCATAATAAATATTAATAGATATAAATATTCATTACTTTGTTTTAAAACACTGCTTACACAATAGACCTTGACCGTAGGCGATTAGGGGACATCCAGAAGTAGTTACCATAACTACTCGTATGCGCTGGTTACAATTAAATGAGCTATGTCACAAAATTTATCTAAACTCAGACCGTTGAAACGGCCACCAGATTGAGTTCAAACATGAAAAGAAGGTACAAATAACATACCGCAAATAAAAAAGGAGACACGGATGGACAAATTTGAACAAGATTGAAACGGATTACAATTGTAGTTTTTGAAAACTTGCTAGCCTAACAGTTTTTCAAAGTGTATTTCTGTTGTTTGTAACGTTTGATATAATACTGGGGAGAGATATTTGTTTGACTCAAAGCTGTGATCTTGCCATTTGTAGCGAATAAGGACGCGTAATTAGCATTACTGATCAACAAAACGAACTAGCCAACCATGACACAACCCCTTTAACCCAGGATTAGAGAAGTCTACGAATATAGCCGCCTGTCATCGCTCCCCCAGCGCTAGGGACGTTTCGCGGTGCGTCGGCGAACAATGAGGCTGACAAAAGAACCCTAAATGCGTTTCCGTCATCACGTGACCCTGAGTGACCGTAGGTTCGCAAGACGGCTGCTACATTCGCAGGCTTGGGTTGGAGCTCACCAGGCTTCAGACAACTAGGCCCTCAGTTATTTCCTATTTTTCCTTGGTGTTTTGAATAGTCTTCTCAAATATATAGAAAACTTATAAAAAATTGGCAGTCGTATTTTACCGTAGCCAATTTCTTTGTCTACTATCACATGTGTAATGTGTTAATACTATATCTGTCACTATTCTATAATATTTTTCCATTCAAGGCGAAGTTTTTGTAATTTCTCTTCATGCATAGCATAGCTGGCTGGTTAATGTTCCCTATAAGGTTATTGGAGACAGCTCGAAAACTACATCGGTCATACTTTTTATCACTTATATCATTTCACTGTGTTAAAAGCTTTCCAGAATCTTTCTTAGGTGCTGAGATGACTTGAGGTCACGTGTGCACTGTACGAGCTTGTAAAAAACAGGGCAGTCCAGAGACACACAGCACAACTTGCTATCACGTGACCCACTGCAGCTGTAACAGATCTGCAAAGTAAAGGAGAGGTTGTTACAAGTCACATAGGTTAAATGTTACCCGCATGACCTCACAGCTTACCTCTGACAAGTGCTGGTGAGTCCGTTCCCATCCGCGCATTCGGTTCATTAGAGTAACAGCTGACATCTGAGGTTTGGCTCGACATTTACTGCAGAGATCCGTAGGAGTTAATTCCTGGCAGACGGGACACGTCATGGTAGAAAAGTACTGAGAAATAGTTCCCTATTGAGATAAGGATATAAGTATGACAAGGCCTTACATTCTCAGTCACGCTTCAAAGAAAAAACAACAAACAAAAAAGTATTCAGAAACCTTTTTCTTGTCTCCCAAGACTGAAGGCAGCTGTGCTACACGAACAACACGAGGGAGCTCTGTATACCTGCAAAACAGTAAACCAAACAGATCAGTATAACGCTATCATTAAGGCGCGCGGTTGATTTTCTCACCTTGAAATTTATTTGAACGACGTAAGGTCATTTATGATCTAGTCGTAAGCGTTTACGGCGAGCGGAAAGCGCTGAAGTTTCGTTGTTTATGATCACGAAATTCAGTAGCCGCCGTTTTTTACGTCGATACCTCTGGTACCAGCACTAAGTGGGCGACTAACAGAGGGGTTTGCCTTATGGGGAGTCAACACTGGGTGTCCATTCAGATAAGTAGGTATCGATTTTTTTAAAAAAAGAGTTGACTATATTATAAAAACCAAGGCTCAAATATCGGTTGTTCTAATTTGCTACGTGGGGCACATTTGTAGTTGTGGCGGTTTTTACGCACGCGACACAATCAATCTCACGTAAATGACACTACAGATTCCCAGCCCCAGCCCCTCCCCCACCCTACATACAATGGGGGGCTTTAGCAAAGTCCTTTTTCAGCGACGCAACCAAAATAATATTGCTAAGTGTCTTTACTGGTATAGAGACGATTTGCTTGAACGTTTGGGGAAAACCACAGTCCAAGAATGTATAACGTACACTACAGGTTGACGTTCGTCGTTCAAAAACGATGATTTGCTTAAGATTCCGCAATGCTGAACACGTGCAATCCGCAATTTTTCCTGAGTTTGAAAATTCTATTTAGCCCGTTCCAGGCGTTAAGATTGTGGGGACGGCGCAAAAATATGTGAGCAGGAAAAACGAACAGCAAGATCTCCCTGGCTCCCTCTCCCTCTCTATTTTTCCCCCGCTCTCTGACTTCGTGCCGCACTCCAACATCTGAACGCTTGGAACAGGCTACATTGTAGTGGGTGGAAAAGGGGGAGCTGCAACTCATTTCTAAAACAGCCGCACTGCGTTTTGAAGTCATGCTGAAAATTCGGACAATAACGGAGTATTGCATCACTGTCTCAAGGACTTTTGTCCCCCATTGTGACAAGTTTATACAAGAAACGCGAGACGCGTGCTGAGCATTGGCTAGCTCATAAAATACAGTCGAACCTCCACTAATGGTCATCTCTCCGCAAAGGCCACCTCTCTACAACGGCCACTTTATTCTGTCCCCAAGGTGGCCGTTGTGGAGTAGTTCAACTGTAAGATAGCCAAGCGTCGGAAACTTTGGCCTGGTTACGTGACAACAAGACAGATTTGTATTGCTATGTGATTTGGACCGCATGTAGAGAGTTCACTTACCAAGTAAATACGTCCATACCAATGAGAGAGAAGACGCGATTGAGCGGCGGCAAGATTTGTTTGGTAATGTAATATGAGGCGTTTAAGCGAAGACCGGGATCTTGAAGGACTTCATGGGGTCTGTGGACAAAAAACAGTCACTAAGACATGGCAACTCTACGGGTGGAGGGGAAGAGTACTCAACAAAATTTTGTGCGAAAGAGGCTACGCCCTGAGGTCCAACCCCTTACCCTTTTATATACCACTTTAGACAGACAAGATACCCTTTTCGCATATCCTTCATTGACAAATAGTATCCCTTTCACATACTGGTTTAGAAAGCTGCATCCCTTTTTAACTCCTGTAAATACACCGTCTTTTAAATATGAATAAATCGCTAACCCAGAAAGTTTTCTTGCTGTTTTACACAGCGATAAAATGTACCTGTTAGCCCTTTAGGTCCTATCACGGAAACCCGTCGTTTCGATACAAACTCAAGAAGTGAAATTGCACCAAAATTTAGTTCACTTTAAGCATAGTTTACAAGTAAACAAGAAAAACATTTTGGGGAAATATCTTCGTTCTTTAAGCCAAGTACGTGCAACTATTTACACCTCAAATGAATAAAGTTGTATCGAAACAACTCTGTATCGAAACGACCGGTAACCCCTACCACAGGCCGCAACGACAAATTTCCCTACCCTTTTATATACTTCAACTAGTGAAATCCCTACTCTTCCATATAACTGAAGCCTGACAAAGGTACCCCTTTCGGTCGGAGCCTCCCCGTATAGGCCATTATAGGGAGTACCCCCTGGGCTTTATACGCTGTACGTTGAAATGCTTATCAAAAGAAAAAAGAACCCGGTGTGTAAACTGACCGCCTCACTAGCTGAATCAAAGGTAATCCGGGACTACCGTACACCACAACATACGGAACTCTTTCCCCCACTCTGGGTTCTGATCGGCGATCTTCTCTGAGCATGCGTCTGGGAAAAAAAATACAAAATAGAGAAATTATAATCTTATGATAACTCCTGGTAGCCCCGGTCAAGGACACATTAACGAGTAAGCAAGGAGTTATAGGTAGCTTTCATTAGATCAGCGCTTAGACTGCACGCAATTTATTACGCGCGTATAATCCACAATCTCTTTCACTGACTTTCTTTCGCTCCCAGGATTATAAGAAAAGAAGATATCTTGTTTTTTAGTGTACAGGAAGGTTTCATAAATTCTCAAAGCTGGCTAGTGGGCATGACGGATCATTGTCTTCACGTCAGATCAGCACTTTGAAGCGGTGGTGAACCTTGAGTTTCTCATTGATACCAAAAGCTATGCCGATGACATTCTAAGTTCCCTGGAAGTTCTACCAAGTAAGACTGGTTTGAGGAGAAGAAAAAACAGACAAAGAACAGGTCCTGACCTTATATTTAATTTTTAAACCTTTCTGAGGGATGGAGATAAAGAGATCTCTTTCTCGCTATTGTTGATGCTGTTTTTGGGCCCATATATGCGACACACGGCGCGATGAGAAAAGATGATAATAGGGAGCTTTAGCATCGACGACGGCGATGGCAGCGAAAACGTCGCTTTTGAAATGAATTGCGTTATTTCAGACTCTGTCGCGTTTATTCCAATTCGCTGAAAATGTCAGATGTAGGCGCATTTCCTTGGAGTGGATTTATTGGGCACCACACTCAAGTTTAGGAAGAGAAAGAAAAATTCGTCGTCGCTTGTTTACATCCTCCATAGAACGTGGAATTAGGCATTTTCAGGTCGTAGACGTGGGGTGAGGGCAAAGAAATGTACAGAAAAGGGTGATGCACGTGCAAAGTTGTTGTTTTGCTAATAAAACCAATTACTTTTTTGTCTTTCACCTTGCCGTCATCGTTGTCGTTGCTAAAGCTCCCTAAAAACAAAGCAACAGTAGTAGATGGTATTAATTCCCCATGCTCTGTCTTCTTTCTTACCGCGTTAACTCCAGAGCCGGAACACATGCACCAGGCTTGTAGCTCTTCATGCCGCGGTATTCTTTGGCGAACGTGAAGTCCTGGATACTAGCGCGTCCCTCCATAAGCTTTGAACATTGCCGCTGAACATATTTCTTTACCAAAGACAGGTCACGTGTCTCAAACAAAGTCCGCAACGATTTTTCCAGAATCTGAAGAGTTAGAAAACAGTGCAAAATAACAGCAATTGTTACTTTCATAGACAGACAATGCAATAAACTGGTTGCAGTTGCCAGTATAACAACAAGAAGGAGAACACTGCTCTTCATATACAACACAAAAATTTGCTTACTGTTCGTACGTCAAAATTTTGTGGTTTCAATTTCTTTTTTGCGAAAAACCGAACAGATGGTTTGGTCCTGTGCAAACATAAAAATATGCAAAAAATAACCAGGGAGTAATTAGTAATAACAACCGTCTTGAGTGCATTCAAAATAAGCAAAAGACAACTGGTCTAGTGTGTTAGTGCGGGAAGTCGTTGACAACAGATTGTCAAGAACACAACTGCGAACTGTTGCTAAGAAAGGGGTCATACTCGCAACAGAAAAATCTCATCATCTGGGCATACAACATGTAGCATGCTAATGTTGTCTTTCCCTACATAGCCTATTTTTTCAGAGGCTGTATCTAACTATTGTACAGGCAAAACCAATTAGCATACTCAATCCGCAATTTACTAAAACAAATCTGATCTCTAACTACAGAACGAATCTTTTCATGTTAAGTGCCGCCATTAATGTCTCGTCCATTCTTCTCGCACCATGTAATGCAACATGATACAAATTAAATATGTCTTTCTTCCCCCCACTTCGATTAATTCCTTAGCTGTTTTGCGGGTGGTAAAATTATGTAAAAATAATTAACAGTTGAGTTTCAATGTAATTTTTGTTTTTGTTGTTACGTTCGTAGCCAGTCTACACAAATCGCAAAAATTTTCCCAAAAAATTCTCCATCCGCAAAAATCAATTCCTGCAAACATTTAGTACCACAGGATAATTCCACTGATTAAAGGATATGACCTCCACCTGGTATTTTAAGACACTTTCAACCTCTACACTTGATTCTTTTCTAGCCCACTCTGTGCGTCGAAATCTATAATCTAGTTATAGTGAGTCTTTGGACTAGAGTCCCGTTTCTGAAAGAGCGATTAGCGGTAATCCGGGATTAAAATCTTAATCCATGATTGTAAATACCTTCCTGTACATTGTTTAGAGTATCATTTTGTGTTATCATAACTGGATCTCAGCTTAAAGGATCAGTTGGACTGCAAAACAGTCGGCTTTTTTTCTTAAAATCGGTGTTAAACAGCGCGAAGGGTCAACGTGAGATTTTTGCAGGTGCGCGAGTGAGTTTAAGACGCCCTTTGTTTTCACCCTAGCTCCAGTCCTTTCGTTTAACTACTCGCGTGTTCTTATACTACGCAAAAAGGCTGATTTGCAGTCTTCAGCTCAACGATAGCTTTAGGAGCTACAGTTGCACGTTTTTAGAAAGAAAATAATTTGCTTGGTGTTTGCGTTAACCCTGGGATAAACTTAATCATCCGGGCACAAATCATCATGTAATAAATTTTTGGTGATTTTGCAGGCATCGCATTAGAACTTGAAAAAATTGACCCAATTTTCTCATGTTTCAATCCACGTCCATCCTTGCAGGAAACTGTTTCAGCGCTAAAATATAGACTCAAATAACAAAACTGGGCCATTATTTTTGGAATTCAGTTGATTAGAAGACACGTTTCAGCTTTTTAAAAAAGATAGCAAATAATTTGACCGCCATAGCCCGATTAAGCACCAAGGCCAAGAGGAGTAAGGACACTGACCACTTGCTATGGATTACACAAACCTTGGCTACTGCAGGACAGGAGTCTCTCCGTACAGTCTCAATCCCTTTCGCATCAAATACGGGTTCCTTTTGATCCAGAGTTTCGTACATATAACCAACATAGCGCTTTTTAGTTTGCAGCACACAGGGCAAGTAAACCTGGAAAAAGGAGAAACAGAAATTACACACAAGGTTGTTTCTCTAATAACGGTCATAAAACTCAAATCTTATCACGTGATTAACCAATGACCAATCACAACTAAATCATAGAGTAACCAGCCAATCAGAAGTCTGCATGGCAAAACGCAAAGCGCGGGAAACTCATGAAAGCCCGAAAATTGTTGAACCAACTTCTAAGCAGTCTAACCAATCACAACTAAATCATAACCAGCCAATCAGAAGTCTGGGAAAACAACAACCAATGTCAATAAGGATGGGAAACTCACGAAAATCGCTGAAATCTATGCAGTTGCATAGCTACTAGGAAAGTGAACTCAAGATAAGGCCAAAATTTTGCTCTTGGGCGAATAACCCCCCTTTTCTCACTAAGGTAGCTTCACCTTCTCATTGGCTTAAGTAACACTGTTCGCAGCCTTCCTTTTTCTCGTGTTTTTATTCCACGAACGCGCGAACTGAACAGGTATGTCGCGCTTCTCCCCCACGCGCGTTTCACTCGCTATTTCTAAGTTTGCGTTTAAAAAATAGTGGCTGTGAACAGTCAATGTAATCAATGCTACACTATCGTTAGCAACTGCTCACAGAGGTGACAAAACATTAAATTATTAATTCATCGGTTATTTTTCTACTTAACCTCTGCATGAGACACACCTTTTCAAACTTAAGCTTGACTGGTTTAGGGTTCATAGCTGTAACAGTGTCAACAATGTCTTTTCCAATGCTGAAAGCCTCTTCTTTGGTTGCGCCCTTAAGCAGCACAAACAAACTAAAAAAAGAAGATGCTTTAGGAACAGATTCACAACAATATACTTAAAGTTATATCTTACGATGTGACTTGGGAGAAAATTTCTATGTATGTTTATGTTACAGGTCAAAATTAAATTCAGGTTAAATTTTTTTCACCTTGGTTGATTCTCAATTTTCTTTGTCTACTAGCCTTAATTCATGAATAATTAGTAGAGGAGACAAAGGAAATTGAAAATCAACCTAGATTTAAAGAAAATTTACACCTGAATTTATTTTTGACCACATTTATGCGATGTAGGCCTATTCTACAGCGGGGGTACAAAAAGGAGGAAGGGGGAACGGGGAACGGGGAACGGGAGACAGGGAAAATGGGGGGAAAAAACCTAACGTAAACCCTGTCCTCATCAATAACTCCTTAACCCATTGCTATTTTTTCCCATTTTTCAAATGGCATTTTCCCGTACCCCTTGAACCTAGGAAGCTCTTAGAGGCTTAGGAAGCTTATGCAGATCCGGCCCAGTATTCCGTGTCTTTTTACACCGTACGTGTGCACATGTATTGCACGTGGTTTGACCCTGACGTGCCTACGTTGCGAGTTAAGAAAAAACAATAAATTCAAAATCAGTATTCCGTGGATCTGTCAAAACTGTTCTGTAGTTTTATTTAAACTATTCTTTCTCCTTTTGCTTGGCACTCATCGAATAAAGGAGCAATTCAATACAGAACTTATATTTGAAACAAGTAATGAAGACTTTCGTTATCATCCTTCTTGAGATTATCTAGTCTTACTTACGACACAACATGCAACGTTGCGTGCAGAATTTTTGATCAGGTATCCGCGTTCCCTTTTTTAGCATACTTATCATTCAAGCAGTCACTCAATACTCTAAATAATGCCTTTAATCTCGTAATACATATGCATTATAAATTACTCCACTTGAGTCGATTATCGTACAGTGATCGCAAGATCAATACGAGAAAAACAAGTCACGCTAAAATGCCTTTTTTTAGATCTATGATCATTCAAACTCTTGGATTACCTTCAAAGTTGCTTCCTATACAAAAATAGCATACAATACCCATTTTCAACATTACTTCAAAATGCAATGCACAATAAATAGAAAATTATTGGAATTTTGTCCAGCATGTACTCGAGAGATCTGACGAGAACCTAACTGAAATAATCCTAATTTCTTGCGACTGTTCAAAGTAAAAACTCACTTGGCATTGATTAACATTAAAGGTATCGAGGGGTACTTTGCTGGGGCCTGTTGACATATTGAGCTAAAAAAAATGGTGGAAGTGTCCTTGCGACTAAGTGGATGGTCCAAAAACAGAAACCAGCGAAATACATGACAGCTACTATTTTCCTGAGATGTTGTTATTATATCCTTAAGTGTGACGTCTAAAACGACAGCTACTGAGCAGTATTTTCCAGAGGTATTGCTCCTATTGTATCCGAAAGTTTGACCTTCTTGCTGCACAAGGTGGTTCTATAGGAAAGCCAATGAACAGTACTGGACTATGATTACTTTTATTTTGCATTTTTTGGTTTCTCAACGTAAAAAAGCTAGCCTCCAACGTAGACGTTCTTTTGCCCTCGTCAAGCAATCGAAGCCCTAACAACGTCCGCGTGGGAGGCTAAAAAATAGCAAGAACACGCGTGTTACCTGTCCGTATCTCCGTACACGACTCGCGCGCCCCAGCGCGGAGTGTTGTTCACGAGATCAATGGCTCGTTCCAGGGTCTCACGTGCCTTTCGCACTATGCTATCACCAATCTACAAAAAGATAAACTTTCTTTTCAACATTAAGGTATAAAGCATTGCTTTTATCAAATTTTCTCACAAATACTAAGGTTCTGATAAAATATTAACTAGTATTTAGTATAAGTGTGAGCGGCAGTACCGGTAGGGAGGGCAGCTAAGTGATTTCACTGCATGATCATTCACGTGATTTACCCACGCATCACGTGATTTACCAAGGCTGAAAAACAGATACAGTAAAAACCCTGCGCCTGTTAGAACCCACATTTTTCCAAGTCCAGCAAAATAGGTTCTTGTATTTTTGGGTAGTTATTGGCAATTTAGGCTTAGTAGAATTAGACTAGGTTCGTGTTTTGTATGAAGGAGATAAAGCTGTTGACCACCAGAAAAATAAATTAAAATGGAAAATGTCTGCCTAGCAGGTTTTAAAACCACTAAGTTCTTACACGTGTGTTTTTACTCTAACAGTTCCAGGCCAAAAGAAAGCCCTCTGAAAAAAAGGGAGGGGGAAGCTAACGTGGCGTCGAAAAAAGAGAAAAGTTCGATGAGCTGCGCCCTTTCGACGTAATTAATTCAAAGCAACATCTTTTTCAATGATCTTCGAAGAAGAACATCGTTGAAAACAAGATTAAGTACTGCCAAAAGGCAGAAAACGAATCAAAATTTTTCTGAGAAGCGAATCAGCAAACCGACAACAATCATCCATGATGGATACTCTTATCGACCGTAGACTTGACGTCGAAATCTTCAAAACTCAAGTGGAACCACGAGCCGCAGGCGAGTGGTTTTACTGCAAAGTTTTGAACATTTTGACGTTATTTCTACGGTCGATAAGAGTACAGACCATGGAAAATTGCTGTAGACTTGTTTTTTACAATAACATGAGAGAGCTTTAGATTCTAAGACAAGGACGCCTACGAGTACGTGATATTCTCAATACCGAGTATTGCTCACGCGTGAACCAGCGTCATTTTGGCGGGAAAACGTGATAGCCGTCGTCATTCTACTACGAGTTTTAGCGAGAATGTCGCACTGGCGAGAACAAGTTATCAAATGTAAGACGTTTTATCATTTCGCTATCGAGAAAGGGCTTAAACCTCCTTTAGTATAAATAACCGAACTAACTTTTGGTGAAAAAAGTTAAATCAAGCTGTCCAGGGCCATTTTTTGAAGAACATGCGCAAAAACTTTAAGTTAAATCTCGTACTTGTTGTCGTCCTCAAAACTATAGCTCTCTATTGACAGTTTCGACGTCCATTTCCGTTCAGATTTCACGGAAAATCGCGCGCGAGAGAAAGAGAAAAACCAATTATGCCACCATCACGTTATTTCCATGGTCTGTAATCTTATCGAACATCCACCAATCAGCGCGCGAGAAATCGCTCAGTTATTGAATAAAAAACCTTTTTGGAAACAGGCCGCTCCTACGCAGAAATGATTTCTCAGCAGTAAAAGGAAAAGTGATTTGGACTTTCTGGCAACAAAACGCGTGGAACGCCAGCTTGGTTGGAAATATCTGACAAATTTGCCAGCCACTACGGAGTTAAACACTCCTTCAACATTATAACTTAAAGAAGAGAAAGTAATGTGCACTGGAGCAGATAGCACCAAAATACCGGAATATGTAAAAACGAAACTCGGAACACCATAACACCGGTAGAGTAAGACATGAAACGTTGGAACACAGAAACACCGGAACACAGAACTCATAAACATGAACACCGGAAACCTTTCACAAACCGGTGCACCTCATCCACTGAAATGTTACTCTTTTGCATCATCGCGAATGTTGCCTGGACATTGTTAATAACGTGAATTAGGTGACCACACGAGGCAAAGAAAAGTCTTGCGACTTCGCTGGGTTTTGAAACTACGACATTCGACCTCGGTGGATTACATTAACTGTTGCTCTACCAAGCTACGAGGCCTGATATATCTACCCTTCATTGGTTATCTTTCCTCGCCGCGATCCTACACATTAATTGCCCACGACATGCTTCTGTCAGGCCTCGTAGCTTGGTCGGTAGTCCAAAACTAACAACAGTAATCCGAAAGTCGTGGGTTCGAATATCAACGACGTCAAAAGGCTTTTCCTTGGCCTTGTGTGGTTTCCTAATTCCCTTTACTGCGGCTAACGCTCAGTTGATTTTATGGGTTATTTGTAGCAGTTGAATTTCCACTCCAGAGTTAATTCTCTGTTTCATCTTTTGTCTCACGCTGCTTCACTTTCATGGTTAATAACGACACGGTTATAACGTCCTCATTTGTCGACGACTTTTTTTCATCCATATATGTCAAACTTGTATATATAGTGCGTTACACTTTTGAGTGGAATGTCGAAAGTTAACGAACAACTTTGTTCTTTGTTCCAGCGTGCTCAGTTAGAGTAGAAAAAGGAAGTTACTTACCTCAACGCATGGCATTCTACCAGAAAAATGCGCCGACGTATATCCAAATGTCACATTTGCAATCAGCTTCAAACCCAACTGACGCGCGTCCAACATCCGCCCAAGAGACTGGTAAATAAAATAGAGGACAGTCAATGACAGTCTACAAATAGTTATGTTTGAAAACACCTCCTTCAAATTTAGCAGAGAACCTCTTCACTTCTGAGAGCGACGGGCGTGACTACTATTGCACTTTCTCGTTCATCGTGTCGTATATTCGCTGTAGAAAGTGGCTCTAACCTTATTCCCAATCCGTAGATAAATTTCAAAATTGATTAAAAGTTACCGAGCAGTACTCTCTTGTGATGTTGTTTATCATGCTGTTCACGGCGGTTTTAGCCTTGAATCCGTGCTTAAATTCCTTAATATTAAAGTGAAAGCTATTGAACTCTTTTGGTCTGCAGTACTGTTCAGTCATTGCACTGTAAAGTAAGGGTTTAACCTTTTCAGACTGTGGACAGAATCCTTAAAAATGAAAGCTACTTAGCAGTAGATAGTCTACACCTTGTCATTTTTCCACTTTTTCATTGATGTCTTAACCATGATTCGTGTTTGAAGGATCTCGTCTAACATGCTGTTGAAAAACAAAATTGATGAGTAATTGACTTTCAGCTTTGATTTAGTGACAAAATTTAGTCCATTAAAAAAATTAGCATGGGAAAACAGCCGTCATTTCGCAAAGTCACCACTGGTTTCGCACCCAAATGACGTCTGAGCAACGAATGCAGAAATTCTGTACAGATGACATTCACTACCCAGATCTGGGAAATGCGTCTGATTGGTTGAAGCCAATTTCTCTCACGACACGACCAATGAGAAGCACTACCCATATCTGGGTAGTGCAATGTCGGCTTTTTTCTCGAGCTAAAAAATAATTACCTGGGAAGTATACCTCTTCTAACGCTGGGTTTGACATAAGCGACGCCGTTAGGAGAGACATGAATGTCACCTTCAAGTTTCTAGAAATAAAACAAATGCAATGACGTTTATTTCGCGAACTTGGAGGAGTCATCCAACCAGTTCGTCACAAAAACTGAAAACAGAAAACTAGAAACTTAGAAGACAACATAAGGTTTCTATTTTTCTGCATCAAAACATAGAAGTCTGAAGAAGGTGAAAAATAATAGTTTTGATTTTAAAATAACAGCGTTAGAACGAACATCATTGTTATAGACTTTCTGTGGTGGTATTGATTGCTCGAGGGCTGCATGCAAGTTAAGAAAGAGAAAAAGGAAATGTCGTCCTGTGTCATGTCCACCAAACTATTTCAAACGAAAGCTCCCCTGCGGCTCAAAATGATTCATTCTAACACCCTCCAGCACTTAGAGTTAGGCAACCACTAATTGAACAGCGGTGGCCTAAGCAGTAGAATTTCGTTCCAGCAAAATGGTACTCAAGCACAATAGTTTTCAGCTATAATTAACGATGAAACTTTCGAAATTTAATTTTTGAAAGATGACAGACGCGTAGTTTAAAAACTAGAACCGGCATTGTACCTTAAGAAGACTAGGTGGAACACACAATGAAGTTGCACCAAACTTAAACTCACCATACCTACAGAATAAACCAGGAAATTAGTGTCCTGAGATAACATTCTAACATCCTGTTTATATGGAGAAAACCTTTCCCGGTAGATGGGTCCCCCTCCAAGCCGAGTTAAGCGTTTATACGAGAAACTAATTGACCCTTTCGCCCGAGCCAACAGCGCTCGAGAATGCTCTAATTGTCTAAAACAGCGCTCGCGCGCGCTCTAATTGTCTAAATCAGCGCTCGGATTGTCTAAGAAAGCGGTCGCAAACGCTCTAATTGTCTAAATCAGCGCTCGCGCATGCTCTGATTGCCTCGCCTTGACTGAGTTGATCCGGCCGGGCGAGGCAAAGTGTCTATACGGAGAAAAGTTGGCCGGTTAGACGGTTGATCCTAACATCATATCACCCTTTTGGTCGAGCCATTGTTTTGTTTCTCATGTACACGGTTCACGAGGTTTGTAAGGAAATGTATGAAAAGTTGGCTCGCCAAGGTTAGCTCGGGTAAGCGAGTGACCTTTCTAGCCGGAACAACATTTTCCATATAATCGGGGCCTTGGTCAAGAAAAGAGAGTTTCTTCACCTTAATTCTTTCATTTATAGAAAGAAAACCCTGGACGTATGTTCTACTTTCTATAGATTGCTAAGGAAATAAACAGTTTGATGTCAATTGCGATGAAAGTCGTGCTTCCTCTCCTCTCACGGTACTGAATTTCACCGTGGGAAATAATTTAAATTCATTCACTAAAATTCCACTCGCTAGCGACCCTAGCTACTTACTCTGACAGGCAGCTAACTCGCCCCAGGCACGTGGAGAAACAGTAGTTGTAGGCAATGATCATGGTAGGGTACAGAGACTGGAAATCTAGGACGAGGACTGGATCGCTGTAGAAACGGGATTCCGGCTCCATGACCAGAGGAATGGTTTCTGGAGCACGCATTCTGAGAGAATAAAAACACAACGCTGGCGCTCGAAAGCTAAACAAACAAAAATCGTCTTGTTTAATAAATACATGAATTAAGGATTTCCCTCAAGATACTTAGATAAAACTTGCATCCGCGGGTATTTGAAGTCAATGGGGAGCTTAAGCAACGACAAAGAGGACGGTGGCGAAAACGTCCCGGTTAAAAAAGTGAATTCACGCTGTTTCAAGGCAGTTTCACCAAATAAATGTACAGAAAAGGGTGTTGCACGTGTAAAGTTTTGTTTTGCTAATCTAAACCCAATCAATCACCTCTGTGTGTTACTACAATATCCTGTCAAATACTTACGCTCCGCGCTGCTCCACGCTCGGAGAAACTGGGATATAGTTCATTGGCTTTGCTATTCTCAACATCATAGACTCAACACGATACTAAAAGAGAAAAAATCTACAATTTTAAACAAGTTCCGAGGAAAGCGCCAGCTTTTCAATTGCAATGAGGCAATCAGTTTAGGACGTAATAATTGCAATCGATATCAAAATCACTTAATATATGCTGCTCTAACAAACGGATATCTACTAAAATCAACACACATGAAGTTATGAAAGTTGATCGCAGTACAGTAAAAGGAACCATACAATACAACAACGGCGACACCAACGAAAACGTCATTCGCGATTATTCCGACTCGTTCGTTTCATTGAAGAGTGAGGATCACGTCCGAGCTCAGCATGTTCCAGTAAAATTTAATACCTTGCCCTTCACCTTCTGTAAAAATCTAAAATTTCGTTACTATACGTCGTAGTTGAATGAGGACAGTAAAGAGTAGAGATGTTGTTTTACTCACTAAACCAAACATTATTGTGTTTGTTTGTTTATTTGGAGGACGTTCCCATTGCTGTTGCCGTCGTAGTTTCGAAAGAGATCCCTAATACCTGACAAGCCATAACAAATAGTCAACGCCACAGCAGCTCTGTACTTTTGAGTTAAGGATGTACCCAGAAGGTTTGCTAAGCACGAAAGAAGCGAAACAGTCTATACTGAGCTTCTTTAGTGAGTACGCCAAAGATGATAAAAACTTTATTTTTCAGACACTGATTACATGGAGTTTTAAAGAATAACATCTCAAATACCTGCGATCCACGAGATATCACAGAAAAGAATAATATCCCAAACAGTCTTGCTAGCTCACTGGTCCGACCAATAAAATCCACCGCCTCTAGTATCCTAACGTTACCACGGCAACGTCTGACGTAATGATCGATGGTCCTCCAACGATTGAGGGCAGTTCTGTGATCCCACCAATCCGATAAAGTGCGGAATGTAAACAAAGGAATGCGCTCGTGAAGAACGTGAAACGCTATGTTCTCGAACGAGTAGCTGCTCAGCGTAACCTGTGGAATAGAATCACGGTAACAAAATTTTTGTTTCGCACAAAGTTTTTATAGCACAAAGGCTAACGGGTGAAGAAAATAACCAAAACAAATAATCCAAATAAACTTTACAGGGTTAAGTATTCCAGCTTTTAGGAGAGGTAAACCTGTTAGCTATTTACAAGCAAGTTCGAAAAGTTCAACTACACCAGGACAACAATTCCTGCTATTCTGTATGGATTTCAGTCTTAGTACATTTCACTGCCGACAAGTTGAGACCATTAGATTCGAGGACGAGATTTAACATGAAGTTTTTCCGCGTGTTCTCAAAAAATGGACACCCCAGAAAACTTTATCGTATTTTTTTCACCAGAAAAGTTAGCGCGGTTCTTTAACCCCTCTCCTGGGCGCAAAATGATAAAATTTCCTAGCACTTGATAGTTGACATAACTTTTTTCCGTCACATCGACATTCTCGCTAAAACTCGTAGTAGAATGACGAAGGCTACCGCTTTTTCCCGCCAAAATGACGCTGGTTCACGCGCGCGCACTACTTAGTATTGACGAAATCTCGTACACGTAGTCGTCCTCGTCTTAGAGTGAAAAGTTCTCTAATTTACAAAAAGTCTTTTCGACTTCCTTCTGCCACTCTTTTTATTTGATGTGTTGCAATGATAAGACTTTAAAATACACAAATTTTAAACACTAACACAAATACAAACTTACAAATTTTGAGTTCTCCGCAATGTAACAAAAGGCCTGTTCGGAAGGGTGATAAGGGACCTCACGATCCGACAACGGTGACGCCAATGAAAGCGTCGCTGAAAAACACACTTCGCGTCCTTAGAAACCTTTTCGTCCTTATATCAAGTCGCCTAATTACTTAAAAGTAGGAAAGTTAGGTTGGAATCGAAGAGAAGGGACCGCGTTCGAGTTCAGAGAGAGCTAGTAAAATTTATCGCCCTGCTGTTCTCATTCTCAAGTGAACTCAAAATTTGGTCATTTCACGTTGTAGTTGTGCAGGAAGGCAAGAAATGTACAAAAAGCGTGATGCACGAGCAGAGTTGTTGTTTTTGCTTATAAAGCCTATTGTGTTTTAGACGTTGCTGTTGCCGTCGCTGTAAAAGTTTCGTAAGGTCCCTATAGTAAGGTCGACGCTGATGGAGATGCAATTACCTCTGCTCGCCTAACTACCGTTAGAACTATTTAAGAACATCTTTTAATTCTTGTCTCCTTTCAGGCCCTACCTCATGTCTCATGAGCCTCCAGACATTCAAAATTATCCGCCCAGCGATTTTTATCTCGGAAGTATGCGCCGCGCCCCATCTATCCTTTTCCGCGTCCATGTTGCTGTCAGAAGATGAACCTTGTACTCGAGCCAACCGACTACAAAGGTCAATTTCAAAAGTCAACGCCCTTTCAAGAAGGAATCCCCAAGAAAACATTTGCACCTCATAGCCGATCAGAATATCCGGATCCCATTTGCGGATAATGAGGAGCAGAGCAGGAAAAAGGTCTTTTTCTTCAGCAATGTATTGGACCTCATGATCTGTCACCCCTGATCGTGATATAAGTGTTCTCGAGTGAAACATGCTGGTGTTTTGAGACGTTCTTGACATAGATGTGTTACTGGTGGATGTAGAAGCAACTGCATCTTTGTGGGGCGAGCGTTTAGTGGTGTCCTCCGCGATGTAAAGACTTTTTTCTTTGGTGTCTGGAAGGAAAAATTGACATTCAATTCAGAAATTAGACTTTAAAAAAAACACTTGGCTTGGAACTTCATAAAAATGTAGAAAGAAAAAAAACAGATTATAACACTAACAACGGCAGATAAGTGTTCTTAATAGATGCTAGCGGAAATGCGATGACACTATAGTTAGATAGATGATAGACTGATAATCTATCAAAATATCGAAAAATGCCGGTCAAATGTTTTTCTTAAGAACAGACGTGTCGGGTATATAACTCTTCTTCAGTACGGTTTTCTTAGCACTAAAGAAGGCTTATATACCCGAAACGTCTGTTCATTAAAAAAAAAAATTCGACACTTTGTTATATTTTATATTGAAATATCAGCCTATCAGCTATCTAAGAGTTACTAACATTCGGACTTAGGCCCCAAACCCGTTTCCAGGATCCTCTCTCGTTCCAGGGGAGAAGTAGGAAAGGAACCTGGGAACGACGTTGCCTCAGCCCCTTCCATCTCTGCGGGCGGTCCATAAACACTTTCGATGAACGGAGAGTCTGCCTCGTGAAGCCACTACCAGCGTAGGAGAACGTTAAAGGCGGTTTAGGAGCTTAGGCGTACAGCGAATTGCGCTCGCACGCATCTGATCAACCGGACGTCTCTTTACGCTCTGTGCAGCTTCAATGGAGGGGAATGGCTTCAGCATCCTCGGCAACAAACTCTATCTTCACTTGGGTGCTTGCGACGTTACAGACGCGAGAAGAGGAGAAGCGTCAAAAATCAACTCAGATATATAGGGAATCTAGCCTCCTCCCTCTCGCGCCTTGCGCTTTGCACCCGCGCCCAAAACGCGCTTGAGCGAACGCCAATAACGCCTTTTGTGCAAACTACCGTAGAACGTCTAATTATCCAGGAAATTTATGATTGAAACCAGGCTCCTAAGATACACACGGAAATCTCTACTGAACTGGAAACAAAAGAGACAGAGTGGCATAACTGAGATGTCCGTTTTACAGCGCCGTTCAAAAAACCTCCCAAATTGCTCTTTCTGTTTGTTCCTGAGAGAAAAATAACACATCCTTACCTTTTCCAGGTGTGGACACTTTGGCGGATTCTGAGTCCACGCATATGATTCCTGTGACTTTGTTTTTGCCAGATGGAAGTGGAGTATCGGTTTGAATGTAGTAGAATATCGCACAAATAGGATCAAACTCGGGATCTGGTCTTACGTCACGCCTTGTTCTTACATGAAGCTCTAAGCTAAACAGTGTTAGATGTTGTACCTAAAAAATGATAACACATATAACCGAGATTTCAAACGGGACTAGAAACAAAACGCCACAGATTTTCAGAGTGGGAGATTTAGCATTTCTGAGAATACATGTTGTGCTTCAGTTTTGTCCCGTGTTTTTAATTTAACATTCCTTCGTTCCACCGTCCTTAACATAAAGAGAAGCTAAAATTTAAACCAGGATAAAATTTAGAACCACAACATATATTTAACGCATGTAAATTCAGTGATATGACAAATTACAAGGAAAATTCATACAGAATAACAATTAGTAGCTACATTAAACACAATTCCATCTCCGTGTGAGTCTGTTTTCACGAACTTCTAAAGCCTTTGAATTCTGTTGTTAAATCTTTAAAACTGACATATTTACGTTCTTGCGTTGTTTCATTATTGTTGTCAAATATCCAGTCTGACTAAAACGGATACTCCAAAATTACATTGCGAGGGTTGGATCTACATATTTGAGGTATCTTCCCTAATTACCCTACTTACTCACTAAGAAAAATTCTTAGTTATAGCAAGGCAGTGTTTACAGGGGGGGGGGGGGGGCGTCGGATAGGTAGTAGTAGTAACTGCCCTGTGACCGGAAGCCAAGTATACAGGTTTGGAATAAGGCAACAATATAGCCATCTTTTCGACTCAATTACTGACCGATTGTCTTAAACAAGAAAGTACCTCATGAAGGGCCTTGGCATCTTGTAGGTTCATCTGAGGGACTTTGAAACCATAAGTATTGTTTGGAGAAGGCCCCTCGATCTGTGAGCTCCATGGCATTGCTCGCCTTGGTGGAGCACCTGGAGTGACGAACTAGAGACAAGTTAAAAAACGAAAACAAAGTAAGAACCTGGGTGCGGATTTAACAATTCAGTATGTTGACACGGTAAACCGTAACGGTAAGGTTTTTTTTTAGTCGGTAACTCATAACAGTACTTAAACTGACAAACCTGAGGCCCGACGATGCGCTCATTTGACCCACCTCTCTCCATCAATGTTTCGCTTTTTTAACGCTGTTTAAAGCTATATGGAAAGCAGTGTTCAAAGATTCAAAGAATTTTCAAGGACTTTCAAAACCACGTGTCCTATTTTTCAAGTACTCCATTCAGTGCAAAAAAGAGCCTTGAGTCTTTGTCTGTTTTAGTTCTTCCACGACATGAGCAATTTTATCCCCAAGTCTGTCTGTGTTTTTCCTTTTAATTTGGAGTTCTACTTAAACTATAAAGTTAGCTTTGAAATTCAAGGCCACACACCAACCGACTGTGCTAAACCTTGCGCCATTGAGGCAAGCCGGTGGAACGAAACGGTTTACTTACTTCTGTTGATAATACCGTAAAATTATAAACCTTTATACAGTTGTGGGCTTAGTAATCTAGCCTTCCATTGAATGTGGGCTGAGGTTGACCTTGTTTTGATACAAGCCTCCTTTGTTTTCTTGTGGAAATAAGCTTAAAAATACTAGTTAGCATAAGAACAACGAGATTCACACAAGAAAGTAGGAAAGGCTGTATCAAAACAAGGTCAACTCGCACAAATAGCATTTACACTGTAGCTCTATGTTTTGCACATCATACAAGAAAGGCAAGGAAAGTTATCTACCTTAAACTGGCTGGCAAGCAGTTGTTGCCTTAGCGACGGAGTCTGGTCCGTGGAGGCCTGGTTTGGAGTAGTTTTCTTTCCAGATGTCTCAACATTAGCATCCAGTCTCTTTCTTTGAGTTGTGGCATTTGAAATGGGAGTACATCGAGGAGATTGGACACCGTAAACTAACTTCGTCGCAACAGGTGTGCTGTGATGTGGTCCAGAAAACACTGAGTTCTGCGTCTGCAGTAAAGGTGTCAGCGGTTGGTGAGTCGACGAAGGAGTTTGTTCAGGAGACCGAAATATGGATGGCGTTACTGTCACAGAAGATGAACCGAAAGTAACAGTAACTTTTTCGAATTTTGCTTCAGGGTCACGGCATCTCATGTCCTTTGGCTGAGTTCCTAATTTCTCACCTTTGTCATGACTCTTGCGAATCTCCATTCCTGGATGAGTCCCAGAGGCAAATGTGAACATCTTCCCCTCGTTTGGTGAAAACAAGCTGCAAGGACTAGTGATTTCCACTGGGCTAAAGGAGTCTGAAAGTTCCATAACATTTTGCTTGTCAACCTCAGCACGAACAAGCGCTGTCTGCACAGGTTGACTGCTAACCTTGCGCGTCACTTCTGGTAAAGTTTCTATTGGAGCGGGAGGAGATAACGTAACCGGACCCTGTTCAGTTGTAGAAACATTAAAAGCTTTAACATCACTTTCTTTGTGTCCTGAAACCAATTCCTTCTCAACGTTTACCAATATCAGGTCTTTTGGAGGTTCATTTATTTGTTCTTGCTTTTTCAACGGTTTATCTTCTACTTTCTTGAGAGCTTTAATACTCCGTTTGGCGAGTTTAGTTCGTGCCCAGGCCTTCACCGACTCAAGCGAAGGCGGGTCTCGACATGGTGTTATTACAACTTCTCCATCTCCCATCAAAGCAATCTTAAGTTCTGCATTTTTGCAGATGCTAGCTGCATCTTCCATAGTTTGGCAGATATTTTGAACAGCAAATTCACGAGTAGAGGACATCACCATTCTCCAGTGTTTTAAGCCTTGCGAAGAACTGGAAGATTCAAATTCTGGTAGATTGGAAACCTTTGGCAAAACGAGAGGCATAAAAAGTAAGAGAGGCTGAAAAGGGAAACCATTAGCAACATAAGAGAAAAAACATTACCTGCCAATACGTGAATAAGACATAAAGGTGAAAACGGCTTTGTACGACATACATCGTAAAATTATTGCGTTATTTGAAAATAGTTTTAAAATGCCCACCTGCTTTGATTCGATCCTCAAAATTATTCCACCTACTTCCCTTCAAGGAAAAAATGCATAAATAAGTAGAAAAAAGTACTTAAATTTGATAAACTGCCCCAGTTTAGACTTCCAAATAAAATGAATCGGTATTTGGAGGTGAGGCTCCAACTCGTTTCTACCTCTAATGGAAAATACGAGCTAAAATAACCTATAAAATAACCTATTCGTATCCTGGTTACCAATGAAAGAGTTTAAGCGGTGCATATTGAAAACTTAATGAATGTTTCGAAGAAACAGTTATTAATTTTGTTTACCGAGGAATCTCAATAAAAAAACCGCTGAGATTCCAAGAAAAAAATGACTTGTTTCTTGAGGGACCAGTCAATAACTGATTTGTTATACAGCCCACGAAGAAAAACTTAAATATGTGTAAAAATTTGAGCAGGTAAAACTCAGCGAGCGGTCAAAATTGGAGGGGAACAGTGCACTGCTGTTATCATAGATTTTGCAATGTTGCCCGCTCAGAATTTAATGGCGGGAAACGGTCGTATTGTTTTTCTTATATTTGCATTAAGAGCAATTCCCGCGGAGTCTGGTGTGTGGCGTAGAAAACTGAAGATAAATTATAAATATACCTTGACATCAAAAATAATTCTTAAAAGAGACCCTGTCATGTTAGCAATAACTTCGTTGACTGTTTTTGCGTTGAAATGGAGTCCTAGTGGTTTAACTACCTGTAAAGTTGAACTTAACTGACCTGGGCAATGCTGGGATATCATCCGGGTTACTGCAAAATGGCTCTTGATATTTACAGTGTGGCAGCCCGTACTTCGTCAGTGAGTTCAGCAATTCCTCGGAACTCGGCGGCTCCTTCAAAGGTTTGATGACAACACGACTTCTGCTGCTACCAGCGTCACTGAGGCCCGCAGAGGCAGAGAGTAATTTACTTAAGGTTTGCTCCTTACAATCTCTCAAGGATTCTGTCGGAATTTTAGCACCAAGAGAGCTAGTTAGTTGTTTTGAAGAAGTTTTCTCGACCGGTGTTTCTTTACCTTCACCTGAGGTTATTTTCACTTCGTCCGCATTACCTTGCGCTGACAGTGGTTGTCCCTCGTACGAATTTTCTTCTTCTAAACTTAGTTTGAAAACAAAATCACTTTTCTCGGTGCTTGGAATTTTGGAGGACGTTTTCTCGACCTGCTCCTCTTTACCTTCACCAAAGAACATTTCCATTTCGTTGTTGTCTGAATTACCTTCCGCTGACAACTGCCGTGTGACGATCGAATTTTCTTCTTTTAAACTTAGTTTGCTTGGTTCCTCAGCTTCAGTAAGATCAGGTAAATGAGTCATTTCAGTGTCAAATGGCGGCATTACGATTGAATCTCGAGCCATTAAGCCAAGCGGTTCATTCGATTCGCTGCTAGTAACATTTTCACGTTTACAACAATTGTTCCCTGAAATTGAAGACTCTGAATTGTCTTCGCCTCCCCCTATCGCATCTTTTCTCTCCAAAAATTCTTCTCCGTTCGAACGAGGGTCGCTTCTGTTAATGGGGATTCTGTGTGGTTTGAAAGATTCTTCATGGCCTGTCGTTTCTTTTTCACTAATTCTCTGACCGACATAATTTGTTATTTCAGCTTCGGTGTTATCGCCGTGAGATTGCGTTTCACCGAGCTGAGGGCCAGTGGGAACGACAACATATCCTTCCAGCACACTGTGAACTACGGGACTAGATTGAGAGTCTTTGAACTTGGTCTAAATAAGAAAACTCAGGAGAATCGTTCGCTTCTTCGACTTCCAATGCATTGCCTTCTTCAGCACAACTACTGTTAACAGTTACAACTTGATTTCCTTTCCATTCATGACAGTTCGCTTTCAGCGGTGACGAGGGGCAGGGGGGAGAGCAACATTCTTCTACGCAGGGGAGAGGTGACGGGAAAGACATATTAAACAGTGCGTTAGCCAATAGTTCAGTATCTTTTTCATTGGGAAAATCAAATTCTTGAGACACCAGCTCCATGTCGTTAGATACGTTAACTGTTGTTTTCAGTCCCATTTTAGCAAAAGATTGGCTCTTTAAAATGTCTGGAGATTTGCTGTTCGAAGGGCAAACCTCTGTTAAGCCAGGGAGGGAATCGGAGCCAGTCACGGCCAAAGAAGACTTAGAACATTTGGGGGAAACTTCATCACCCGAGTTAGGTTCTCCAGGGCTTGAAGGAACACAAGTTACATTGACATCCAACAGACTTCTGTCCATAGCAAACTCCTTTTTTCCGTCAAAGCCTGAACCTCCATCATCGGAGACGGTGTCAATCCTAGCTTGTTTAATTTGTAGAGAGCTAGATGTATTGTCTTGATCTTTAAAAACAGATTTTCCCTCTTTGACCACGTATTCTTCGTCCGAAGTAACACGAGTTTCACTAACATCATCCATCCTTGGAACAGAAATTGAACTTGCTTTCAGTGTTAATGAAAGCTTTCTTTTCTTTCCAGAGCCTGGCAAGTCACGTACAGGTGTTTGTTGTCCGTGGAAGTCAACCTTAAGTTTCCTTTTGAGACCTTTTCTTTCAAAGGTCCGACGAGTATTGGTCAATTTAAGGGATACTTGGCGGGACGGGACTGATCCTGTTCTGTGGCGGGATATTTTCCCGTCACCATCAGAACATGTAACAGATGTAAAAGGAGTTTCAGATGAGGGAAACTCCATAAATCGCTGAAAATTTTCATCATTGTTGTCAACAGACCCGAGCGTGCGACTTCGGGACGAGGCAGATCCCGAAGTGTCATCTCCTCCTTTCCGTACACTGCTGAAAACGCCTGTCGAAACAGCAGAGTCCTCGTAAATCTGCGACGTACGTATAAGGGTGTCAGTTCCAATTTGTCGGTTTCCTGGTGACGCCTGTGAACCTTGACTATTATAAGCGGGACTCTTTTTAGGTGACTTGGCAATCACGACAGGTAGCGTTCCGTATTTTTTCATTTTCTCCTCTTTTCGTTTTGGAGAAGTCCTCTTTAACAAAAGAGCCCTTTCTTTGGTTCTCGTTACCACAGGAGAAGGTTTCAGCGAAGGTCTCTCTTTTGCAACCGGACTATTCAAAACCTGGTTTACGCTAAGTGTATAGCTCTGATGCGGCGTTTCTCTATTGTGCCTCAAACGAGCGCGAGCTTCGCTAAATTTTGAGTCAAGCATTTGTGATTGAGAAACATCCTCTACGGACACTCTTAAGTTTGGCATAGCTCCGCTTATGGCTCTCAAGGGCGAAACTAAATCACTTTTCCGCTTATTCTCGCAAGCTGCCTTTCCTTTACCAAGTTTTAGTTCTTTCTTCTCTACATCGGATAGTTTTCTATTACGCAGAGTAAGTCTACGCGAATATATTTGCACTGAGGAGCTAGTGGAAGGCACTGCCTCTGTTATAGGAAGTAAACCGAGTGTTTTATGTGAAGTTGACGGTACAGACGAGTTTAAACACTGTTTTGCTACTTTTTGTCCTTTATCGCCACCTTTCAGGTTTTTCTCATGGCTGTGAATATGTTTTGTCATATCTGGAAAATCGTCATAAGACGTAATCCGTTCGTTTGATGCAGCTGAGGTTTCTATCTGGTCACTTTTTTCCACTTCAAGATTAAGATCTTTCTGCTTCACCACTTCCGTTTCTTCCTCTAAGCCAAAATTAGACTCACTGCATTTCTGTCTTTTCTCACTGTAGATAATTTTCTTGCTTTCACCTCCTTGACATCAAGGTTACGATTTTGCTCACTCGAAGATGGTTCACTTTTCTCTGGCTCTGAATTAGTTCCTGTTGTGTTATCTTCAGAACCACTCGATTCACTTAAAAACAACCTGAATGTGTCCTCACGGTCCGGTTTCTCCTCCTCCTCAGTATTAAACTCAACTACTTCCTCTTCCTCCATCTTTTGATCCTTTTCTTCACTTAATCTTAGTGACTTTTGAACCTTCAATGACGATCTGGTTCTTTTTGAATAGGTTCGAATGGCCCTCCCTTTTTTAGGCCAAACATCTTCGCCGACAGACCGTTTTATCTCCTCAGAAGCATCACTGCATTCTGAAGCCATTTCACTAGCACTTTCACCATGATCTGAGTTTTTTTCCGACGCTTCAGAGTGTGATGGTTCAGTCAAAGGTATTTCATTCCTGGTGGACACTTCACATTTTTTACTTTCACTAATTAATCGACTTGACCTCGTTTTCGTTCTGCCCATGCCTAATCTTTTCCGCGTTTTTCTAAATTCCTCATGTCCATCGGAGCTTTCATCCGCCGCTCCGTCTAACTGAGGTATGTCCACTTCTAAGAACGATCCAATCCAGGTATCGGACATTCCTTCCACGTTGAACTGAGACGCCCTATAAACACGTTTAAGGGGTTATGTCACCCCATTTGTAGCCTCCCACGCAGAAGTTCTTAGGGCTTTGTCGCGCGTTCCTTCCCCGGGTTGGGGAGGATTGCGTGACGAGCCAAAAGAACGTTTGCGTGGGAGGCTACTCCATTGCTATCTTTTTAAGAGGTTATCCAATTGGAATATTGAGCAATTTTAATTTTCAGTGGACAAAAACCTTGTGCCAGAATAATTTCAAGCATATTGCATTCTTTTTGACACTTTTCAAAGGCAATAAATGTAATAAGTTGTACGAAATAACTCCAAAGAAAATATTCTTATGGGAGCCCAAAAAACAAACTTCAAAAGCTTCAAATTTCACTAAATGGAGTCTTACGCATGACGAATTTACCTGTGTTTTCTCAATTCCTCTGAAATTTAAAATTTATTTTCGCGGGCTCTCATAAGAGATTGTCTTTGGTGTTACATCCTTGCCCTTGAAAAGTGTAAAATAGAATGTGACAATGCTTTAAATATTCTAGAAATCAATCGATACTTGGATTTGACGTCATACTGCAACACGATTAACCAATCGAACAATGCCTTATCCATATTAGGGTTTTCTTTGGCGCGAAAACGAAGAGTCCATGTTTTGATCTTCTCATCTATTGGCTGATAAAACAAATAACGAACACTTAACGAAACCATTTTTCAAGGTCATACGAAAATCGCTCTATCTTCTTTAAAACTCTGCAGCGGTATTTTGTGTGTGGGTAGAGGTAATAAGTGATGACTTCAGCACAGAATTGACCTAAAATAGCAATATCCTCTAGAGACAAAAAAAAGGGTTCCCTTAAACGCTAGAGAAATGATGTTACCTTTGGGAAGCCTCCCCATTGCCTTGTTCATCTGCCACTTGTTCCTCCCCAGATCCCAGCGAGTGGTGTTCAATATCGTCCCAGACCCTCTGTGACATGACAATCGACTCTTCGGCCTCACTAAGGTCTTCATCATCTTTAGCTTCCTCGTCAGACAGCGAATCCCCTTCAAAAACACACTTGCTGTGACTTTCGCGTTTTGAAATATTTTTACAGGGAAACGTTATAGACTAGATTCTCTTTGAGCATTAGTAAACTCAATTTTAATTACTCTTGTGAGTACCACTTTGAAATTTTAATGAATATCGTCATTTGAGAAATTAAAGACTTCAGCCGCCATCTTAAAGTTCGCACCATCTCAGGAGAAGCGGCCAGGAATTAGTTAATAGAAACAGAAATACAATAGTGAGGGATGCAATGACTGATATTATTGCCAAATGATAACTGAAGGTCTTCCCAAAGTTTTATAGCCATCGCTGGCGTTAAAACCGAAGAAGAAGTTACGGGACAAAGTTTGTCATAGTTCAGTGTGCTTCTAATAACGACGGAGCCACTTTAGAAAATAGCTTTTCGCTTAAGAGCTAAAAAGACCTGAATAGGCCAAATCCTAGTTCCAAAAACTATCACTTTCAAAATGAGGCTAAGTGCAAAAATAAGATCCCGTTTACACGGGTGGGGACAAATTTTTTGAACATTTTGTTTCCACGGAACCCGCCGAACGTGCAAGTATAAATGGCCGATTAAGCATGATAACGTCGTGTTCGTACCTGTGTCAAGTATAATGCTCTGACTCGCTGTTCTCTGACTGCCTGGCTGAGTGGACTCTTCTGCCAAACTTGCCAAAATATTAATCATGTCTTTATCCATGGTTGAGGCTACAATATATATACAAGAGTTAGACTCTGCACAAATGAGTATACCTACACTGTACCTCAAAATTTCCATGGTGCCACCGGTTTGGTTGAGTAGAATTAAGAAAACGAAAATTCAGAAGGATAGAAGCAACATCGAGTGTCGTGCCCCGAAACAATTACCAGAATTTGCAGGTGGACATACACTGCGACACTAGTGCGCTTAATGTTTGTTGTGATAATGCGTGCGATGCTGCGCGCGATGATGCTTATAATTATGGGTGCGATGTTGCGCACAATGCTGCTTATTACAATGAGTGCGATGTTGCGCGCGATGCTGCTTATGATAATGCATGTGATGTTGGGCGCGATGTTGCTTATGATGATGCGTGCGTTTTATGCGATGTTGCTTATGACAATGCGTCCGATGCTACGTGCGATGTTGCTTATGATAATGGTGCAATGATGTGCTCGATGTAGCTTATGATAACACGTGCGACGTTGCTCACGATGTTGCTTATGATAATGCGTGCGATGTTGCGCGATGTTGCTTATGACATTGTGAGCGATGCTGCTAGCGATGTAACCTACGCGCTAATTCGTCTCCTATCTCCTCCCCGCGCAAGCTCAAACAACGTTAGCCGATACAATAGAGAGATTTAGAATCACTTTTACCGCAACAAGCAAACGTCAATTTGTCACAGATGACCAAGTTTTCCCTTTAATTACAGTTTCCTGTTCATGTCAAGCTCGTGCATAAGAATTAGTACAGTTTCTATCTGTTCCCCTTCCTATTTTGAGAATATTGTCAACTTGAAGCTACCGTTTGCCGTTTGTCGTAAACGAGATTCTTAGTTTCTCTACTAAGTGAGATACTGCAAAAGATGAAGCCTCCTTTTTCGTCTGCGCGCATGCTAACGCGATGTTGGTTGCTGTTGGGTGTTGCCATCCTTTTGTTATTTGATGAGATACAAATTAGCAGGAGCCGTTTTTCCGAAATGTTGCGAGCGATGCTAAGCTCAATGCTGAATTTCACTCACCTTCATTTGTTAGTTATTACTCACATTATAACAAAAAAGAAGAGCATAACAAAAGAACCTGTAACAACGATTGAACTGAATAAAGTAGAACAAAATTAATCAAACCTACATAGATCTGGTGACACGGAAATCTGGCTTGCTTCTACGACTTCTTGCACAATACTTTGATTGACAACGGGTTCATCTTCATCAACAATGACTGCAAACAACAGAGAAAAAACGTCCTTACCGCCGACGCGAAGTGTTCGTCTCAGGCGGTACCGCGTAGAAATCACTTCGTAGCAAACGTTTCCATTCGAGTTATTGCGCGAAAGTAAGAGTGAGACCAAAAAAATGGAAGAAGGAGGAGGGAAGAAGAGGATTCCTTTTCCCCCCTTCCCTCCCGCATATTTTTCGCTTTCGTTCCAACTTTCCCGACGAACGAAACGCTTTCTACACATGCTAGACTGAACCCTGAATGCAAGAGGTCTTCTCGCTCACCAGCGGCGAAAGCGTAATAAGCGAAGTGCTGAATTGCTGGTTGAAGAACATTTTCTCGCCCCTCGGCGACTCGCGCCTCTGGCACCCAGAGTAGGTACGAAGGAGATCCAACCAAGGATTTGAGGTAAAACCAGACTGAGTTAAAACCTAGGAATCGAACCCGGGACTTTTGGCACAGAAGGTTGCACACTAACCAACTGTGTCAATCCTTGCTTCTCTACTGATCTGGGCAAGTGTGACCCAAGATCAGTTTGCCCCAGAGTTCAAATGTGATTTATTGTTGGTTCTCTTCCTTACTCTGAGGAATTTTTCTCCGGGTACCCCATTCATCCCATCTCATAAATAAAAAATTCCAGAAATCAGCAGAGTAAGAGAAAAAACTTTCCTATCCACTTGTCCTTGTCCTTCGGACTAACACTATATTAAATTTGGTTGTCAGAAACCCAAGAGTTCTTCTCCAAAAAGTTTAACTCGAAACTTGACGCTCAAATACAATCGGGCATTTGTTTTTAATCACATTAAATTGTAAATTTTATTTAACTTAAAACGGAGCTCGTAAAGACAAAAAATGAGATGACAGTGGAATGGCGAAAATAAAAGAATATTTAAGCTTACTTGTTAAGATGAATTTTAATTCTACTGTAATTTGAAGACAATTTTAGACTGTTTCTTTATTTTTTCTAATTAAAAACGTGCTTGTCCCACGGACAAGTCATGTCAGAGGTTTACAAGTCCGAACTAAATTTCTACCTGTCCCGGACAATCCGACATACGTTTTGGCGCATCCTAATCAGGCCCCAGTTGTTCTAAGGGTATGTAGGTTTACCACTGGGTCATTTGTCATTTGCCATACAACAGAGACTTTTAGATCGTAAGGCTTAGGTCAAACGTCGAACCTCTCATGAGACGAATCAAACTCAAGTTGGGTCGACCTAAATCAAGTTAAGATCATCTGCTGGGTCAGACGTCGAACTTAGGACGCGTCGAACCAATAAACTGAATCGTACCAAAAAGCAATTTTAATAAAGTTTCTCCCGAACAAGACTAAATATACATAAAGTCTTGAGACAAGCACTGTTACGAGAACGAGATTTTGTCAATAATGGAAGTGGTGCTCGCGCGTGAACGAGCGTCATTTTGGCGGGAAACGTGATAGCCGTCGTCATTCGACTACGAGTTTTAGCGAAAATGTCGTAGTATAAACAGAAACATTTTGCGATTAGGAGAAGGCTTAACGTCCCTAAATAAAAATAACCGTGCTGACTTTTCTGGTTAAAAGAAGTACAATGACGCTTTCTGGGGCGTCTTTTTTCAAGAAGACGCGAAAAAACCTGAAGTTAAATCTCGTCTTTACAGTCGTCTTCGTCCTAGAATCTGAAGGTCGCTAATATTGGTTAACACAACACTTATCCACTTGATAGCATTTCATCCGTGTTTCATGTAATATGTGTAATATGTTTCGAGGTGTTTGGAACCCGTGATGAAGAACAAAGCGCGAGTTTTTGACATGTCTTCTCAAATGAAGCAGTAAGAAATTATGCAGTTACATGTTTTCTCTGGTACTGCATTGTTTCCACGAGTTGTGTTAATCAATAAAACATCTTATTAAAATGCATTTGATCTCAGATGAAAACCTGTTGTTTCATTAGGTATCAAGAGTCATCCACCTGACCCAAATGGTCGTCATTTATTGACTCTTGATTGCATGAATAATTAATGAGTTTGAGATGGGTACAAATATTATATTTCCATTAACATTTACATACCTTGGGATGACTGTGCTGCTGCACCTTCACCTAGCGTCCCTTGAACATGCTGCGACAGCAACTGTGACATGACATCAGCATCTAATGAGTCATCATCAGCAGCCATGCCTTTCTGAGATGCAGCAGCCAGTGTGCAGATAGAATCTTGAAATGAGGCAAGTTCCTGGGGAGATAATGCTCCTCGTCCAAGTTTTCCCATCTGACTTTGTCTGAGAATAAAATTAGTACAGACAATAGAAAAGCTTTTGTGCCTGAAGACTATACAGTTACCCAGTTGAGAAATGTGTGTTACCATTACCCCATACAGTCAAACATAAAGGTGCAAGGGTACTCATTGGTGAGAGTACTCTCCTTCCACTAATGTGGCCCTGGTTCGAATCCTAACGCCGACGCCATATGTGGGTTGAGTTTGTTGTTGGTTCTCTCCCTTGCTCCAAGAGGTTTTTGTCTGGGTACTCCGTTTTTCCCATCTCCTTAAAAAACCAATACCTCCATATTCCAATTCGATCTGGAACGCACTGACAAATTAAAACGAGTTCTTAAGAACTCCTAAATGTTTTGTGGGTTAACAAATCACAATTTGATTTTTTTTTCTACAAACCTTATTACCGACAACACAATCCACATTTCAAACATGTCCACATTATAATGGTCAGAACTCTATGTCTTATGAATTGATTGGCACTAAGTACAGCATAGCAGTTTTAGACACAATGTTTGCAGTTGCAAAAAAGAAAGGATTAAGAATTCAGGTAAACAGGATCCAACCCTCTGTGATACTGGTGCAACTCTCTACCAATTGAGCTGATAAGCCAACTAGGAGCTGGTCATTTAAGTTAGTTTGATATACTCTGTGAAGAATGAAGATAAAGTATCATAAACTTCCACTTATAAGACCCTGCAGTTATAAGCCCATTTACCTGTAAACAACCAAAAATGCATCCAGTTTTAAGCCCAGCCCCCCCCCTCAAGATATAAGGCCCCCTTCAAGCTTGTATTGAAATGAATTCGATTATTAACAGCGCTTTGAAGCTTAAAAAAGCGAGTTAATTCAAAAAGTATTCTGCTCAGCATTGCTTTGTAGCTTGTTTTGAAACGCTTTTAATCCCAGTTACAAGTCCCCTGGATATAAGCCTCCCCTTCCGTTTATAAGCCCTCCAAAAATGCCTTACAAAGTTGTATAAGCCCAGGGTTTATAAGCTGAAATTTACTGTCATGAATATATGAAGATATTTGATATTCATATACTCATTATTTTGATCTTCACTCAGGAAATTGCTGTAGTAGGGAGATGCACACGTTATAGTAAGATGCATGTCTCAGTAGGGAGAGCTTTGTGATCCTTTCAATCCAGGTTTTAATGTTACATTATATGTAAATCGGTGAATGGTTTGAACCCAGGAGTCATTTCTCAAGTAGGTGGAGCATGAGTGTGGTCCTGAATAGGAGTGTTGTTAACAGGGACTGGTGTATTAGCAATCTGTGGGGTACATCTTCAGAGTCAGAGTTGTATCATGTCGGTATCACGTTAGCCTGCTAGCAAGCGTTTCCGCGCGAGTTTGTGTAGTTGAGACGAGAGCAAAAAACAAAGAGGAAGACGGCGAGGGGGAGGAGAGAAAAGGACACCCCTCCCCCCCCTTCTCCCCTCCCCTTCCCCCTTCCATTTTTTTTGCTCCCGCTCTAAATTTCACGAAGTAACTCGATTGGAAACGCTTGCTATGCAGGCTAGTATCATGTCAAGGTTACATCTAGGTACTTGTAAAACGTAAGGCCTAAAGAAACCTCAATACTGAGGAAACTTGCATTCCCTTACATCAGAAGATCACGTTCGTCAATTATCTCCTTGATTCTTTCCTTTAAATTCCTCTCTGTTTCAGTTTCTTGAATCAGCCCTCTATCTGTAATTACAATAATAAGTTATTTTACTTTATCAATATTATTTTACTGGGCCCACAAAGACCTGCCCAATAGCGATAGGAACAAATGAGAATCATTTATTTAGTTACCAGCTTTTCTGGACACAGGCCTGCCCAGAGGGAATGTGAACGAACGGGTCTTAGGTCCCATGCGAGGACAGGTGCCATCCCTACCCAATCCAACCCCACAACCCGTAAAGGTTGGCCACACCACTGGGGTCTGTGACCCCTACTCTTTTCGAATAGGGATGTGGGTTCTTTTACATCCCACAAGAACAAATCAGTGAAAGTACCGTGAGATGGGACGTACAGTTTTTCGTCCTTATCCGAGAAGACTTGAAAGTCTAACCATTTGCAAATGTCATTACAAAGGCAGCAATTTCTTCTCAGTTATTTAAAGACCCTGAGCGTTGGTCCGGCCTGGGTATGAACCTGCGACCTCCCACTCAGCAGACCAGCGCTCTCCCAACTGAGCTAACCAGGTGGCGATTTTAAATCAAAGGTCCCATCAAACATACTCTCCCCATCCACCCCGACAACCTATAAAACTACCTGAGTTGTCACTGCCCAGGGTCCAAAATTAATTACTAAAGTAGTTTGTCCGTTGAAGAACCATCTTTTTAGATCTACCATCCAAGGTGAAATCTAGTCACCAACCAATAATAGCCATGGTCAGTCAGTTTCCCACTGTGACCAAAAATTTTTGAAGCCACTTGGGATTCTTAAACTTAGTTTTATTAACCTTGAAAAGCCACATCAGGGCAGAGGGTAGTATTAATTGAGTATTAATTAATTACCTAATTTATTTATTAATTAATTCATTTACAAATATATTTTGTTTACATTTTCTGAACTGGTTAGAATAACTTTCGAAGAGTGTTCAACTTTTCAGGAGCAACAAATAATATAATTGAAATGTAGTTCCAAGCTTCAGAGGCTATACATCACTTTATTTGATTGCCTTTAGGCCATATGAAACAGATAGCTGTAGCAATAAAGCAATGTACAGCCTCTGAAGCCTGGAACTACATTTCAATTATATTATATTTCATTTATTTATTTTTATTATTTAACGCAAACAAAAAAATACTAGCACTTGAGTTCTGCCACTTGGGATTCTTAACCCTATTTGAATTATTTGTTATATTAAACCTGAAAAGTCCCATAGGGCAGCGTAGTATTATTGAGTATTTATTAATTAATTAATTATTTATTTATTTAACACACACATGAAATACTAACCCTGTGATGATGGACCTGATATTTGTGAAGACTCATTTGCATCCCGACGTCGCTGCTGTTCATCTTCCCAGATAGCAGCCAAGCCAGGGTTGGTGCCAAGGTTGACTAAAAATGAAATCAGTTGATTCAAAATTATACAAAAAAATCTTAATATTACAAAAAAAGATAACAGTTAGGATTACCAGGAGATAAAGGGTCAAAAGTCATAAATTATCACAACTTTAATGGTACGAGGAATTGCTTGAAGAATTATAACAGACCATTATCAGTAACAACAGTTAAAAACATTACATCAAAATGAGCAAAGTATGTTGGGATTTGTACTCAAGTCTCAAGCTCTTCACAAAGTTCAATAAATTTACAGTAAACGGTCTCCATCTCATAAGACAAAATGCACCTCCTATTTCCCGCTTGTTAAGGATGTCAGAGGCCAGAACATCAACTTCCAACTCACAAAAACTGACTCTTTCTACTTCAGGTCCTAAAATCCATTCCCTGTAAAAATCAGCAAGATTAAAATAACGAAGGATATGGCCATGCAAATCTATTTTCTTGTAGCCTGCTTACTGGGAATCTTCTGCATGTGTAGCCTCCGGGGAGATGTCTGCATGCAGGCTAATTCTCCTGAGATGCTAACAACTTTTTGCCCTTCATGCCATATGATTAAAGTTGTTGGATTAAGAATGATCTTTAAGCACTTTCAAACAACGCTCAAGTATGAATCAGGGAGGGGGCCAGGTACTCCCTAAAAATTGGGTTGGGGGTGTGCAGCAAAATAAGCTTTATTTTAGAGCTTAACCAAAATTTGACTGCTTCTTTCAGACCAAAGCATTGCAACACACACACAGACACACAGACACTCTGAATGAAATCCCAGCTTTTTAACAACTGCTGTACAAGGAATGCCAATGTGCATTAACAACTGAAAAGGGCTTTAAATAAAAAGCACAGCCCAAGCAACAGATGAATAAAAGAAAAAAGTGTACTCTATTTCAGACCACAAGGATTATTCATAAAATCTATACCCAATTTTTTCAAAGAGTTCAAAAATCATTCTCCTTAGTGCCACATATATCTTTTAGGTAATGGACCACCCCAGGTTTGAATTCAATAAACACTGTTGCTATCATTTTAGACATCAGACAGATTAGAAGCAACCAAGGGTTCAAATATTACTCTAAGATTGCATTTACTTTCTCGTAGACTGTTTTGAACAGTCATTATTTCAGTTTAACAAGTATCTAGTAAGTTAAAGCTCAGAAACAATATTTTTATGAGCTCCAGTTACATGTTTCTGGAAGACTAAGAGTCAGAATGGTTTTTTTTCTATTACTTCCCTGACCATGGGTTAAAATAAACCATCTTCAGAAAATCCTAGGCCAAGACACAATATTACCTTATTAGAGGAAATTAAAGCTCCATGAAATTAAGATATTGGAAAGTAATGTGATTTAAATGGAGGAAATTAAAGCAACTTCACAAAGAAACAAAACTTGTTGAAACAACAGGGAAAAACTGCAGGAACAAAGTTAAACATATCATCCCAAAATGTAAACTCTTTCTTAAGTGTCAAGAATCTTAAAATTGTATCAAGAATTTGGGGTAAAATGACATTAAGGTCATGGAAGTTAATGGTCCACTTAATTAATGGGGGTGCAGAGATTAACATTTACAAAAATTAATGCGAACTTAAATTAATACAAATTTTTGAAATTTTTAATTTCATGAAGTGTTAATCTTCTATAATAAGGTATGTTGTATTTCAATATTTATCAAAAACACATGAACATTGAGATTGACATCATAACGGAACGTTCATTAACTTATTACAAATGGGTGTTAACAAAGTCAATGAATTATAAAATCCGAAGAGTTTAAGTTTAAGCTGACATTAGTAAGAAAAAGGTACATGCCCACAATAGTTTAGTTTTTGCTAACAGTGGCAGTGAAAGGATCAAAGTGTTCACTGTTACATTTAGCTCCTACCAAAATTACAGTCATATTCAGAGCAAGGACATTTAAGAAACTTGCTAAGAAGTAAGTTGATTCAAAGTGACCTTTGAACAAAACTAAATTGTTACATTTTGTCTTTGATTTTGTTACCTTAACAGAGTTTAAGGGAACTGCAAGTTTTGTTTCACAAATTGCATGATTTCAGTTGCTATATCTACCATTTGGCTGTGATCATGGGAATTCATTTATTTGTTATTTTTGCTGCTAATTTTATTTTTCAATTTGATTAACACATCTTTGTACAATTCTCTGATTTTATATCAACTAAAATTACGCTCATATGGATGCCAGTTATTCATCATATTGGCTTTCCTTGTTTGCAATTGAAACAGTAAGTACCGGTAACCACTAGCAGTCCATAACATTATTGCAGTAGCTACAAGAACTATTATAAAATTTCCCATTCTAGTTCCTTGTGCTAATTTGCATAACTGTACACCACTTCACACATTACCTTGGCACAGTATCTTCATTCCAAATTTGATTTGGAGTTCCACAAAAAGTTACTGGAGACTTAAACCTCTGCGTTTCAGCAAGGGATTTCACCATTATAGCCTCTCCTAGAAGAGTGAAATGACTTAAGGATATGAAGTTCCTATACTGGCTACAAAAATATTTTTTCCTGGTTCATTGTGCTGATAATTTGCAATAAACACTTAACTTTAACTTAGTTGGGGCTACCACTTAATAGAAAGAAAAAATTAACTTCATGTAGTTGCACCTAAATTCTTATTCTACATACCATCACCATCCACAAGCCTGACAGGATTTCGGAATTTTGCTGCTGATGCATGAAGTAGGTTCATTCCATAAAGATTGTAGTCCATTAAAAACTGGAAATGGAGAAAAAAATCTCATCAGGCACCTCCCCAGATTTAGCTGGGATACCTGTGAAATAACTGGTGCACAAGCATGTACCATGATAGGCAAACTGGGGCTGGGGGAACTGTGGTTTCATTGGCTGTAATACACGTGACCTGAAATTGCGTGTGAATATGTTCTGTCACACAGAAATGCCTGTCCTACCTGGAATCTTAGCTCGAAACGACCTTACAAAATGTCCAGCCATCCAGGGATTTGACTGGACAAATCCCGTTTTTGCCGGGAGTCCGATTTTGTTAATCACTCATATGATTACAGACCGAATTGGATTCCACTCAGTCCTGTTACCATTACTTATTATTATTATTATTATTATTATTATTATTATTATCTCTTTTATCACAGTCTTTGCTGGTGTTCTTTTTGTGCATCAGCCAGGTGCAAACCATGCACCTAGAGCATCAGTCACTCAAGTCAATCATTCTGTTCATACACTGAACACCTTTCTGAGGATTCGCACAGATCCCAGCATTATTATTGTTATTATTATTATTATTATTATTATTATTATTATTATTAAGTACTCAGTTATTATTAATATGCTAATTTAATTTACCTGTAAAAGATAGGGAATATGAGCTTCATGAGGTTGAAAAACCTTATTCATAACAGCCCCATTCTGAAGGAGGCTAACAACCCTAAAATCAAAGAAACAAAAAACAATGTATAATTGTACATACACAGTAGAGGTATGACTACAGCACCTTGTTCACTTTATAAGACGCATGTACTTACTAAGGACTCACTAACCTGGTTACTAAAAATGGATTGTACAACGAGATCTTTAAGAAGTCCCTTTCTCCTTCATGATAACCATAGAAAGGTCTAAAATTCAGAAATAAATTAAACATTATACAGAGTAGCAAAGACTTAAAGTTTCTATAGCTATTAATGTTCGGTTTAAAACAACAAATCAATGAGCATTCACCATGTTGGTAATAAAAACTGGAATTGTTGCTATAAAGTTCAAATATTACATACAGCTTATTTGGGTGAAGTGTTTCTTGAAAAGATACAGTCCTTTGATGTATTCTTTTCTTTTTTTTTTTCATTACACCCAGACATGAACAGAAAGTGCCTCTGCCATTTGCCAAATTATGCTTGACCAATCTAGCTCTCTGTCCACTTATAAATGCACTCTTTTTATAAGATAAACACAAGACAATGATCAGTGAAACCTCTGTAGCTTAAAGAGCACCCCAGATTAAAAGGTCTACTAGACTTTTGTAATGGCTGTCCCTTCCCTCCTTCATCCCCTGACATAGAAGTACCTGCTTTATGCATCAAAACTTATGAGAAAATATGGGAGAAAAAGTTTAGGGCTGATACTTCTCTTCCTTTATAGACGGATATGGATACGGGATTCCACACCAAGGACTCCAGATTCCAGGTACTGGATTCCAGTCTTTGTCCATAAGACATAAATATTTTTGGATTCCAATCTTAAGTGGCATTCCGGAATCGTTGAGCCTTAATCCGCATTCCAAACTCCAGTATTCCGGATTCCACAAGCAAAAATTGACCAAATTCCGAAATCTGGACTCCTTTTACATTTGGGCGACCTCCCGGGGGTGACCTACATCAATCAGAGTCACAAACATCGTCCATACATGTAAACAACACGTCTTTGCTTTTTCAGGGGCTTTTCAGATGTTATTTATTTTATAAGGAGACTTAGCTATGATCTCGAAGAGTAAATACACTTACATTCCCTTCACCAGGGAAATTTCGTAGACGTGTTGTCGCGAAGAAGAAGCTTTACCAAGTGAGACTTGCACTGCAAAATCCACACTGACGGCAAGCTGTTTCATGTACTTGTCAGATGGTTGTGTACCATCGTACGGTACATATATGTACGGAAAGACGCCATGAACGTGCAAACACGTCTTTTGTCCACTCGGAGTAGCGCCGTAAATACGAATAATAGGAACCTTGCTGATGGCAGTTTCACGAAAGGTAGAATTACAGACATCGAGATCGGGGATCGGAGCTGCGATATAGAAATCACTGTTGACGATTCGCATAGAAAATACCATTTTCCAACGAGGAAAATGGCCATTACATGATCAGAATTCTTGGAAATTTCTTGTGAACGAAATTTGTCAAAAATGTCGACTGGACAAATTTTCCGCCATTTTGTTTTCGCGCAACTAACTCGGTCCAGGCTTCTTTCACTTCTACTCGGGAGTTTTCTCAGTTGACAAAATGAAGGAGAAAAGGAAGTGTCACGCTATTTGTTAGTAAACGTGTCTTCGCATTACTTGAATTCAAAAAAGTAATGGCTCAGATTTGATTTTTTTGAGACTTATATAAACATTGAAATTATTTCCTGTCGTCTGTTGCTACGGAGGAGAAGGATGGATATGAACTGAAACTTGAAAAGATTGGGTTAACATTTTCAAGTTTCAATGGTATGCCTGTAAAAGTCACCCCCCAAAAATATTGTGGTTAGCGCTCCCTGATGGAATTTGTTTGATATATTTTTCATGACTCTTTTGGTCGTTTTTTTTTTTTTCTAATCAATATTTATCTAGGGGCATCCAATTTAGCAGAGCGAGTTTAAACGGAGCCCTGACACAACACAAAAACAAAGACATTAAAACCAGACAACTAATTAAGTTACAAGGGCAACATGCACCGCTGGCGTTACTGTTTAAAAATGGCGCTTTAGCTTGATTGTAAATTCGCTGAGTTTCTCTACTTGTCTGATGATTCTCGGTAGGGTGTTGTAGGTCCGAACACCGTTTATTCTGAAGCTACCTTGGTATTTAGTAGTTTTTGCAAGGGGAGGGCGCAGCAAATCACGGCTTCTGGTGTTATAGCAATGGAAAAGGTGCGCGTGCATAAACTCTGTAAGCACGTACGAAGGCGCTATTATGGACTTATAGGATGGGCCAGCCGAGTGTTGATTTTAACTCCTCAGCCCCGAAAGTTCGACCTTCAATATAGTACATGCGGCGCGTTATGGGATAATGCATTATAAATTGACCTAAAACAGAAGTATCCGCCGACACAGTCCCTTCGAATTCTGTGGACGAAATCCTATGGAGTGGAACCTCTTTAGCAATATAGTAATTTCCTTTTAGAGCTATTTTTCATTTTTCTTTTTATAAAAATTAAATATGAGAATATTCTTAAATTTGATCTGGGGATCAAAAGGTTAAGATAGGAACACTCATCCGTATCTAGGCTGATAATAGGCTGTAACTGATCTTCTTACAGAAACCGGGCGGTGCAGAGAACTGAATCACGTACGCAATGTATGGAAACTCTGGAAACTATCTCTATTGTTGTTAAAGAACCTTCTCTTTATAATTCTGACGTCATAGTATCTGTGCGAGATACGTGCGTGGGCTGAAAAATTAAATAAAACTGAGTGCTCATAAAAAAATGCTAGATAAAAATGACTTTGGTGTCGGCAAATGTGTATCAAATTGATTATCGTGTAAAGCTGGATTAAACTGTGCGAAATTTCCTGCCTGAAGGCTGTCTGGAAGTCTTATAAGTGAAAACGAATTACCATAATTAAAGAAAGTGGTTTATTTTTTCCACAGATTTCCAGATGAGCTAAAATAAATCAAGACTTGTTCTTTATTTTATCCAAATTAAGCGTTTGCTTTTGAACCGGAGATTCAGTATCTTTATAGTTTAAAACACACATCGCGTGTATTTTTTTAATTTGTCCATTTTTATTCCTTCTTGACAAGGTTATTTATATCTTTATAAGTACGCAGTATGACTGACCATCAATTGGCCAGCGGGAGGTCTTAGCAATAGTCATGATTATTAGATTGAAACGCCTAGAACACGTGCAGATTTTTTTTTCTGTATGACCCGTCAATCTACCGGCTGGCAATCTAGAATCATGTTAAGAAAATAGATTTAATTAGGCTAGCTAAATCCATGAATAGAAATGGGATTAGTTTGTTTATGCACAAATATTTTCGTGACCAGTGAAAAGGGAAGTGACACATCATGTTCCCAAACCCTCTTTGCCTGTTCGTGACCAAAGCCGCCGCAAGCCACACCGCAAGTCGATTGTACACTGGCAAGTGGCCGGCAAAGGAAACGGAGAAACAAAACCACAGGGTTACTAGCGCAAAAAATAGGTTACTTCCCTTTTTTCGTGGTCTTCTTTCCTACCTTCCTTCCATGCCTGCTCTTAGAGCGCACACTAAAAAGCGAATCCCGTTCTCTCATTTTAGTACAATGTTTGGCTCAGAATAAGGGTTTTTAGCTCCTGGCTGGGATGTACACTTTCCCCTCCTAAACAAACAGACCGTTTAGGGAGAGAATATATTTGTAACATGTATTTTTTTTTTTTAGAACAAGCGTAGTATGAAAACAGGAGCCTAACAATTAAAAACGCTGATATGCACCGGCAGCATTTATTTCGAACCCGAGGGAGCAGTGAAATGTGGCGGGGAAGGGGTAGGGACCTTGCTTTCTCCTCCCCCTCTTCCTTTTATTCACACGCGCGAAATACCGACTCTTGATTCAGAAAAGGGACATGTCAGACTGCTATGCTAGCCGACGCAGAATAAACTCAAGACATACAGCTAGCCGAAAGGTAGAAGAATTATTTGAACAGGTGCAGTGAACTTAGCGGTATTTCCGTGTTCGGCCATTTTTTGATACAAACAATTCTCCTGATCTTGCGTCCAAGTCTAAAGTCCTCCATTTTTCAGCTGCGCTGCGCGGATACCTGAATCTTGTTTGCAAGAAAAACGCTAGGGTGACATGACATGAGCAGAGTGTACTTTTGAATTCTTTCACGTGTATGACCCCAAATGTCGCGTGCCTTGAATGCCAACATAGCGTTAAGGCACGTTCAACCACAATTTTATGCCTTGTGTTTCCGGCTTTGTTCTTGACCTTATCAATAGTCCGTAACCCAAAACATTTCCGCAAAGAAAAAGAAAGTGCCGATGGCGATGACATCAAACCAGTCATGTGCGGCGTACGTGGATCAAGATCACATGAAAATTAATCAAATGTAGAAGAAAGCGATAAGTAATTTAGCAGTTCATTGCTCATCGATCATCGAAGATTCGGTATTGTCGGGCAATATACATGTATGTTAACAGGCGATCAGACTATTCATTCAACATTTGCCACCCGGGTGCTCATTAAGAAGACAAAGCATTTAGCACTAAGGAAACACCAAAACTATTGCTTTGTAAATAGACGATTTTAAGGAAGTACTACTCACTGAAAAGATTTCAACTGACCCAAAATAACCACATGTACTGTGTTAGGTTTGCCGATCACATAAATCAATCGGTGTTGGTTCCTCCCAAAAGCGATAGGCCTGATCTGATGAACTTAACTTAACTTTAACTTTTACTTTATTACACATCACACACTCGGAAAAATACATGAGAACAGCCAAAGCCAGGGGCTTAAATGGCTTAAGGTCAGCCAAAAAAAGTGAAAAATTTACATGAATAAAAGAAGGCTTTAACTAAAATAATTACAACACTCCAGCTTGGTCCACTGACCGCTGAAAGTACAGTTCTAGCAGTTTTGACTGTTGAAGAGGTACTGTGTGTGAGCAGTGCTTTTCCGTTATACTCTTTGCCGAGACGTTCAGATAGAGGGGAGAGGCGCAAAATTAGAGAGCGGGAAAAAAAGAAGAAGCCGCCCTTGCTGATTTTCTTTCTCTTTGCGCTCAATGTTCTCTGTATATGAACGCCCCCGGAGCAGGTGTGCAAGATGGTTCTACTAGTTGAGCAATCGTCAAAATGCCTCAGCAATAATTTTCAGTGGTTCAAACTCTAGACTCAAAGCACGCGGGGAGCTTAAATGTAGCAGGCTTAAGCGACAACTTCGGCGACCGCAACGAAAACGGCAAAAAAGCCAATAGCGGTTTAGATAAGCATAATAACAACTTTGCATGTGCATCACAATTTTTTGTACTTTTCTTTGCCGTCCCCCCAAGTTGAACGACTACAACGTGAAATTTCCTTCACGTTTTTATGGCGGACATGAACACAAGACAGTGACCGTTTTCCTTTTTGCATCTCTGAACTTAGGTATCGTCCATTACTGCCTAGGGCCAAACGTCGAGCTTTTCATGAGGCGAACCAGACTTAGTGTGTTATGTTCAGTTCATGAAAAGATCGACGTCTGGTTCAGTTGAGTTCGTCTGAATGAGCTTGGATCCGGCGTCCAACACGCCCTGTTGCTTCAGACGGACAGAACGTCTGAAGATCGCCTCCGGCACAAACGGCAGTGATCTTCGCATGCGACGAACCAAACTAATAAATTAAAAATTTGTATGATAATGTATATTTAGCCTTGTTCGGGAGAATATTTATTAAAATTGCTTTCTGTTACGATTCAGTTTATTAGTTCGACGCGTCCTATGTTCGACGTCTCGGACCTAGACTTGCTACAAGTCGACCTCTTGGCGAGTTGAGCGAGCCTTTTTTGTTCGCCGGCGAAGCGACCGACCGCGAGCGACGAAGTCGTCCCGCGCCATATGAAATCCGACAAAGGACTTTTTGAAAGTCTATCTCGGACCCAACAGACGATCTTAACTTGATTTAGGTCGACCCAAATTAGAGTTTGGTTCGTCTCATGAAAAGTTCGACGTTTGGCCTAGAATTCAACTGCAAAGAATTTCTCCAAAATTTGACAGCGGGAAAGTTTGAAAAACCCCACTTAAATCAATTTTTTATACGTGACGTTTCTTGCAGCCGTCGCCGTCCGTCGTGGTAGCTTTAGCAGTATACTTCTTTCTCAAATGCCGTTTATTTTTTATTATTTTATTTTGCAAATTAAAATTTTCTTATTTTCTGAAGTTTTCGTATCAGGCCAAGGCTTCAAAGTACTTAGAAAGTTCTCAAAACCACGTTGTACTTAACAGGCTCTTAACTAAACATTTGGTAGCCTCAATACAGGGAGAAAAATAGAAAGGGCCATAGCAACTTTCTTTATATGACGCAGTTTGCAATACATAAATACAGTTCGATAAAGCACCTGTATAAAACATATGCTGCACCTATTTTAGGTATTTGCAATGAACTTGGCCTTAGACACTTAAAGGTAAACAGTATTTAGCAGTTAACTTGACGTAAATAAAACTAATCATGTTAATGATCATAGCTAGCCGGGTAGCATTGTTTCGGTCACAAGCAACCAGAATGTCCTTGTAAGAGAGGATTTTGTTCTAATCGATGCATAACAGGGATTTTCAGCATTTTTAACCTTTTTGTGTGTGTGTACTGAACGAATATATACACCTGCGAGAGTTATTTTCGGACATGCCTCTTTCGTTTCCTCCAGAGTCGAAAAGGTATTTCTCCCATTACTTCCTCTTCAT